ACTACTAAGGAAAATACGGTAAATTTCAAGAACCTCGTCTGCAAGTTACGGTTGAAACCACAGGTTTACTGTGGCATCTAGAAAAGTTACGGTTTACGGTAATCGAGTGATGACTTAAAGTACCGCATTCTCTCTAATAGTAGTGCACCATGAGCGTTGCCTAAATTGCTCGAAATCTCAAGAACCGCTTATCAGAACCTATCGATGTGGGGTCGGAAAATGTAGCTGACGATGAGATCTAGTGGGGGATTTGAGTGTTGAGCATCTGCAAAAGCTTGGAAACCGTAAAATCGTCACCAACTCGGCTCGCCCGGGTGCGCTACTATTAGAGAAAATACGGTATATATATATATGCTTTATTCAGGGGGCGAATAGAAGCGAATCAGATAATCATGACCGCATATAACAAATTGCTACAATAATTTCACACAAAAAAGAAAGAAAACTAAAAATGGTAAGACTACAGTTAGGAAACACAGGTACAAAAAGATTAAATATACACTTCGTCGACAAGAATGAATAACTTTAGTTCGAAAGGCTTTTCAGTAGTCAATCAACTTAGGGATTACTGTAGTCTAATGTGAACAGATGTGAGATTGAATGGAGACAATTTGATGGAAGAATGGCAAAGAAAAAGAAAAGCAATAGTGTGAATTGAAATGAAGGAGATTCTCAGATCTTTTCAAAAGCTTTCCATAGATTTTGTGGAGATTTTATCGTCTCGTTTTCTCAAGGTGTCAAAATAAATGAACGTCTATTTGGGAAAGGGAAATGAGTAAACTTTTTCAATTCTTTGAAAACTTTTAACAATGAAAGAAAAGGGTTTAACAATGAAAAATGAACAATGAAACTTCTATCAATGTTCTTTATGAAGTTTTATAGTTGAATTCTCTTTTTCTGCTTACCAAAATTTATAGTTTAACTCGTTCTCTAATACTTTCCCTCGTATTGAATCCAATTTTGTTTTGAAGTTAATAATAGAATAATAGAATGTAAAGAAGATACCGTATTTCTTCGAATAGAAGACCGGGTAAAGAGTATGATCGCGTACTCCTGCGTAGCAGCCCTTTTTAAAATTTCTTTTCTGCATAAAAGCTTTCAATGAAGTGCTATAGAACTGGAAAATGGCTCAAAAATCTGTTAGCTCATGTGGTATTTTTAAGTTATTCATTCTTGTCGACGAAGTGTATATTTAATCTTTTTGTACCTGTGTTTCCTAACTGTAGTCTTACCATTTTTAGTTTTCTTTCCTTTTTGTGTGAAATTATTGTAGCAATTTGTTATATGTGGTTATGATTATCTGATTCGCTTCTATTCGCCCCTTGAATAAAGCATACCGTAAATACTGTAATAGTACCCCACGCCCATAATGACGGTGCGGGGTGTTGCGGAGTCTAGTTTTGAACGAGTTTTGCTCGACACTGGCTTATGCTGCAATGCGCGCTTAGGTATCAAAAAATAGCCCTGAATTTCAGCTATTTTTTGATACCAAAGACGCATTTTTTGAAAGTACGGGCGCTTTGAAAAAAAAATGAAATACTAAAAAACTACGCGACTGCACGAGGGGGGTGGGGTACTATTACAGTATTTACGGTAGCGAGTTAAATGCTATCCATTTGATATTGAATCACTTCTAAACTTGAGGATAAGAACGTCCCTGTCTTGTGCCTCGTTTATTCCATTGCCTGTCATTCATTCTCGATCAAGCCCAACAGTCTCATAAATCTCATTCTCCTATCGACAGTCCCCTTCTCCTTTTTCACATCTCCCGCTGGGTTCTTCTTCTTTAATGAAAAGCCTTTCGAACTAAAGTGATTCATTCTTGTCGACTAAGTGCTTTTTATATTTTATAATAGTGATGTCTGTATAGAATTTCGTATTTTTAAATCAAATAAAAATCGATTTTTTATCTTTATCTTTTTATTTGTTTCTTGTATACTATAGTCATAATATTAGGTTGATGCAAAAGTCTTTTTCATTTTTTTCGTACTTCCGTTAAAAAGTAACAAATGCACCAATTGAACAACGGTTTATTGCATTCGAAAGGCCAATTATTTTTCTGCAAAATGACATTAAAACGAGTTTAAAATGTCTTATGTCTAGATTTTTTTGAGAGCCTGAAGTCGGGTAGTCAAAAAAGGCGACGGCTCGATGATGCATTTTAGACGCTTTAGCTAAGGAAACCAATCTTGATGTTAATAAATAAAAGATAGAGCACAAAAAGTTAGATATTTGTTCAGATTTTCAGAGAAATTGATTCAGCCAATTTCTTTATAGAGGTTTTTATAGATTTTTATGAAAAACCCGTTTTCACTCTCGAATTTGCTTGAAAGTGAACCCAAATTGACTTAAAAAGATGGGAAATTGAACAATAAACACTTTTTATTTAGAGCAAACCATAGGTTAATTGATGACTTTGTTATTTTTCAAAAGAAGTACGAAAAAAATGAAAAAGACTTTTGCATCAACCTAATATAATAATTTATTGAAAGATCTATGCCTTGCAATTAGTCATTTTTCTCGTATTATCTAAATCGAACAGTTATTTAAACTTTATTTCAAATTTCATTGACTCATAAAACTTTATAAAAAAATTCGTCTTGGTCACCGAGAAAACAATAAAAGATAGAAGAAAAAAGCGGAGAAAAAAGCGATGAGAAAAAGGTGTTCCTCGCGAGAAATTGGGACATAAATTGTGGGTTTTTGTGTGAGAGATTTCCCTGAAATTCCCCCGAAAACTTTCGACTCAAGTCATTAAGGTTTACGGGACTTTCACAGATTGAAAAGCTTTTTGATAAATTTAAAACAAAAACTCAAAATCTTTAAGTGCATTAGAATCAATGCTGCCACAAGAACTTTTAAACTTTTATATAGCTTTAGAATCAAATGATCCTCCTCATCCTCCTCATCCTCATCCTCCTCATCCTCCTCCTCATCCTCATCTTCATCCTCCTCCTCCTCATCCTCCTCATCCTCATCCTCCTCATCCCCCTCCTCATCCTCATCTTCATCCTCCTCCTCCTCATCCTCCATCAAACCTTCCCCTTTCATCTCGTCCAACTGCTCTTCGAATATCACCGAATGCTTGTTCAAGAAAAAGGTATAGTTCAAAATTTTATGCGATTTTTCTGTATCAATTTCATTTTACAGTCCAATCATTACAAAAAGTGGTGCCTACATGGTAGCTCTTCCTCCAACGATCACTAAAAAAGATCTCAAAAGGAGTGTTCAGTTAAGGTTTGGGAAAGGTTTTAGATGTAAATTTTGAATAAAACTTTCTAAAAACTTTTTATCAAATTGATTCAAAAAATTGCAGAGAACAACAAGCAAAACGGGCAAAATCAATCGACGACGCTATCGAGAATCTCCACAATCGAAAAAGCAAAAGTATTTTCTGTTCAGCGGAACTTTTAGCTGGATAGATTTTAAAGCGCTAATAAAGAAGATTTATATGAAATATAGCTTGGGAATTGAAAAATTGCGTATTTGTTATTAAACAAATCTTCATAAACAATAAACATAAACATAAACAAATCATAAACAATCTTATCCTTAGACTCAACAACCCAGCCGTTTTTCAAAGGCAAAACTTGTCCTCTTCAAAAAGTTTTTTCAACTTGATTTCAAATCAATTTCAATTCAATTCCAAATCAATTCCAATTCAATTCCAATTCAATTTCAATTCCAATTCAATTCAATTCCAATTCAATTCCAATTCAATTCCAAATCAATTCCAATTCAATTTCAATTCAATTTCAATTCAATTCAATTCCAATTCAATTCCAATTCAATTCCAGTTCAATTCCAATTCAATTCCAATTCAATTTCAATTCAATTCCAATTCAATTCCAATTCAATTTCAATTCAATTCCAATTCAATTCCAATTCAATTCCAATTCAATTTCAATTCCAATTCAATTCAATTTCAATTCAATTCCAATTCAATTCCAATTCAATTCCAATTCAATTTCAATTCCAATTCAATTCAATTCCAAATCAATTCCAATTCAATTCCAATTTTCAATATCTAATCGAGAATCTCAGTCGTTATGCAAATAGAATGACTCTAAAATGACTCATCAAAAAAAGCGAAACACGAAAATTGTGGGGATTTCGATGAAAGACAAATAGCGGATTTCAGAAGGGAAATTTTGAGGGGAAAAAACGACGATGAGTGCGGGTTTTTTTTAGATAAAAATGGGGTAAAAATTGAGGGAAAAGGAGAATGGAATGGGACAAGTCACGGATGATTGGTTGACACGCGAAATGAGGGGAAACGATGTGGGATAGGTAAATAAACGGATGCTTTTGATTTGAGAAGGTTGAGAAAGATTTGAAATCTTCGAAAAGTATTCTGATACTTTTTCCTTTGTGCTCAAATCCTGTGCACTCTCGCTTGTTAATTTTCAACTAAATACTTCCAAGAGAAAATGAGAAATTAGAGTACACTAGAAGAGCTGTTTCTATTTTTGAGCACAGAGTACATAGAGTTCGAGTACATAGAGTACATAGAGTACTCTAGTACATAGAGCACTCTAGCTTACATAGAGTTCTCTAGTACATAGAGTCCTCTAGTACATAGAGTACTCTAGTTTGCATAGAGTACATAGAGTTCTCTAGTTTACATCGAGTACGGAGTTCTCTAGCTTTTCAGTATGCCGGGTTCGGTATGTTTCCCTTTCACTGAATCGTTGAATGAAGTCAATTTGCGGATACTTATCCGACATCGATCAATTAGACAAGAGACGAGGATTCTTCGTGCACCAGAAAGAAGTGTTTTTGTCTTTTTAGCACAAAGTACACAGAAAGACAAGGAAAACAAAGTCAAAATTTGGTTATTTTGTCCACGTAATTCTTGTAACGTTATTAAATAGCTTATAAAGTTCGAGACAATAGCTCGAACAATAATTTCGCATCTTCTTGAATTCTCTTCAGCTTGAGAGTCTTTATTTTCTTCATTGAGATCATTAAACATAAAAAAGAACATGATTTTTCTTTCAATTTCCTTCAATCGCCGCAATATATGCCAATTTTGTGCACCTTTGTGTGATCTCTTCGTCATTCGATGAACAAACATATGATGGATGACATAAACAAGTTCGTCGACCATCGACACGACAAATTGAATCTTTTGATGGACAATCTGAAAGGACAATGTTGGATTTAAATTTGAAGTCATTTCAAAGCTTCAAAGCTTTTCAAGTTCTTAAGAAAGATGATCTATGAAAGTTTATGTCAAAAATAGACTTTCACTTACACAAAGAGGCAGCTTTTGTCTGAATTTCGTGTCGAATCGCGTCCACCGAATACTTTTTAGGTCGAATTCTGAAAATTGGTTTTAAAATTGAAAACTATTTCATCAAATACACTGTACTCTACAAAACAAAAACATTATAACTTACCGTAAATACTGTAATAGTACCCCACCCCCATAATGACGGTGCGGAGCGTTGCGTAGTCTAGCTTTGAACGAGTTTTTCTCGACACTGGCTTATGCTGCAATGCGCGCTTAGGTATCAAAAAATAGCCCTGAATTTCAGCTATTTTTTGATACCAAAGACGCATTTTTTGAAAGTACGGGCGCTTTGAAAAAAAATGAAATACTAAAAAGCTTTTGCGACTACGCGACTGTACGAGGGGGGTGGGGTACTATTACAGTATTTACGGTAAGCTTTGAATTTAGTTTTGAATTTACTATGCTCGACGAGAGCCGAGAGATTTCCGAAATATAAACGATCAATCCTATTTTACATTTAACGCTAACTGTGCAGTGTGAGAGAGAATACCGATGGGGGCAATGATTATTAGATATTTATTCCGGATCTAGCTCAATACTAATCTAGCGAGAAAATATAAAAGAATCGAATCAATCGTTGGTTCAGTGTTTCATAGCAATCAGACATTCAAATCAAAACATTAAATAAGATTTCACAGAAAAGAGCCACTTTTCTTTTTAGAGGCGTTTTCTGCACACTAACTTACTCGAATTCAGTGCTTTCCCGCTGTCGTAACTGATCTCGGAGAAGATCTTTTAAATTACAAAATGGATTCTCGACAATTTCACCGGTGATTATTCGAAGAACAGAGCCTAAAGAACCATTTTAGCAATTCGAATCAATTTTTTTTTGAGCTTAAACTATTAGGTTGTTCGGATATAAACAAGCGTTGCTAAACTTTTTGTTGTGAAATAATCTTTTAAAACATGTCTTTCTGCATTTAAAAGTACGTTATCTTATGCATATTTGCAATCTTTTTAAATGAATAATTTCTTATTTCTAAGATCTTTTTTCTTGCTTTAGATGACCGACTTCAAATATATTAAGTTCGCGTCTGCCTACTTTACGACTTCAAACTGGGCAAAACAGTCGCGGAATCCAATCGAGATTTGGTCAAAGCATTTGGAAAGGATGTATTGTCCGAAAGCCGATGCCGAGCCTGGTTCTAACGCTTTCGGGATGGTGATGAAAGTCTCGAGGATGATGAAAGTCTCGAGGATGATGAACACTCTCGAGGATGATGAAAGTCTCGAGGATGATGAAAGTCTCGAGGATGATGAACACTCTCGTCGACCTCAAGCGGTAGAAAACGATATTTTGAGGGCTGCAATCGAATCGAATCCATGTCAAACGACGAGTGAACTTGCTCAACAGTTTCTATGTTCAAATTCTACTATTGATGAGCATCTCCATGCCATTGGAAAGACGATCAGATGCGGGAAATGGCTTCCTCACGAGTTAAGCAGTGCAAACGCTCGTTTATATCCGAACAACCTAATAGTAAAAAACTCAAATCATTAATCCTATTCATTCTAAAAACTAAATTTAACATTAGAAAATCGAAAACCCTTTTTCACTTACATTCTCCACCGTCTTGATTACAGAAAACAATGACGATTGACACGAAAATCATAGAAATCCTCAGTAAAAGTGACATCTTTTTTGATATAAAGTAACTGAATTTGTTTTTAAAAACAAAAAAATCAAATATTATAAAGAAAAACTAGACAAAATCTTTAAATTTGAAACTTTAAAGCCTTTAAAATATCCCAAAAAAATTTTTGACGCAAGCGGATTCTTCTGAGAAAAAAGAAGCGGTTGAAAATCAAGAATTGTGGGAGAAATGAATGACCAATGTCTTTCATTTCTTTAGGCAATAGACAAAAATATCCGGATTGTTTTTGGAGGAGACAAATGACCGATTGAGACAAATGAATGTGAGGGAAAGAGAATTGGGTATGAAATGACCGATTGGCTGAGTGGGAAAGAGAATTTAGTATGGGGGAATACTCTGATTTGGTGTTATGAAAGTGGAATAGTCGATTTATTTGACTATCAGAGTTTTCCTCGGGTAATGCGCTTTCTTGAGTAGCTAATTCAAGAAAACTATTGCTCTTTTCTTTGCATGTTTCTTGATTTACTTGATTTCTAAGTGATGAAGATTTAAATGTATTTGTGATTACATTTGATGAGGATTTAAATGATGAATTAACTGATAGTAAAACTAAGTAATAGGATAAAAACTAAAGGAAAGACGGTAGCTAAAGACGGTAGCTAAAGACGGTAGTCTAAAGGACGGTAGCTAAAGGACGGTAGTCTAAAGGACGGTAGTCTAAAGGACGGTAGTCTAAAGGACGGTAGTCTAAAGGACGGTAGTCTAAAGGACGGTAGCTAAAGACGGTAGCTAAAGACGGTAGCTAAAGACGGTAGCTAAAGGACGGTAGCTAAAGACGGTAGCTAAAGGACGGTAGTCTAAAGGACGGTAGTCTAAAGGACAGTAGTCTAAAGGACGGTAGTCTAAAGGACGGTAGTCTAAAGGACGGTAGTCTAAAGGACGGTAGTCTAAAGGACGGTAGCTAAAGGACGGTAGCTAAAGGACGGTAGCTAAAGGAAAGACGGAAAGACAAATCTTTAAAAATCTTTATTAGTTCTTTAAAAATTAGTGAGGATGTGAGGATTGTTTTATCAAAAAAAAACATGAAAATATTGTTAAATTTCAATATTTTTTAATAAAATAAGCGCATAAAAGCTTATGAAAAGCAAGAAAAATTCAAATTAAGCAAAGTAAACAAATATTTTCCTACCGTAAATACTGTAATAGTACCCCACCCCCATAATGACGGTGCGGAGCGTTGCGTAGTCTAGCTTTGAACGAGTTTTTCTCGACACTGGTTTATGCTACAATGCGCGCTTAGGTATCAAAAAATAGCCCTGAATTTCAGCTATTTTTTGATACCAAAGACGCATTTTTTGAAAGTACGGGCGGTGGGAAAAAAAGGAAAAAAAAAAAACTTTTGCGACTACGCGACTCTCGGAAAATTACGGTATTTACGGTATTTTGTTTTATTCTTTTTAAAACCACTCAAATAAATAGGTTAAAAAACTTTTTTTTTTTCTTTAAAAGGTTTTTGGGTACTATTACAGTATTTACGGTATTTTGTTTTATTCTTTTTTAAAACACTCAACTAAATAAAGGTTAAGAAAGTTGAAAGTCCTCTTGATACGAAAATATTCCCCCTTTTAACCAGAAAAATCTCAGAAGCTCAAGTTGTAGGTCGTTTAGATCAAATTTCACTAAATTTAGCTCACAAAGTTTTCTCTAAAAAGATTTACGTTCAAATTTCACTAAAAATCACAAAAGAAATAGCTTTAATGATATAAAAAAAAAATTTCGATAGAGCTGACTGACATAAAGCTGACTTTTTGGGGATGGGACAAATGCGATCTTTTTTTTGCGCGCCTGGACATTTGCGCACCTTTTTTTTCTGAAAAAGGCCTTAGGAAAGGTCGTAGAGCTTCGAAAATATTCCCATATAAGGGAATCGTATGCGTAGATTCCGAATTTCGACAAATCAGACCTCGCTGACACGTCAAATTTGGGCTAAAAGGCAAAAGCTGCGGAAAAGCGTTAAGTTGCGTAGTTTTTGCCTTTTAGCCCAAATTTGACGTGTCAGCGAGGTCTGATTTGTCGAAATTCGGAATCTACGCATACGAAAACATTTTTGAAGCTCTAGGACCTTTCCTAAGACCTTTTCCAGCAAAAAAAGGTACGCAAATGTCCAGGTGCCAAAAAAAGGTCGCATTTGTCCCACCCCCGACTTTTTTAGATGACTTTAAAAAAAATATTCAATCCATTTTCTCTAGCATTCTCTCTTTGTTTTTTTTTCTTTTTTCTTATGGTGTCATAAATTTTTGGTTTTCTTGAAGGGGAAAATGGATAAAGAGAACGTGAAGATTAAAGAGGAAATTTCATAACAGAAAAACAGGAAAGCTTTAAATACAAATTGATCAAGGAAAGCAAGTAAATCTATTTGTTTAGCTATGTTTAGAGCTTTGTTATTGTTTAGCTGTTATCGCTATTGTTTAGCTTTTCACTATGATTTGTTAAGAAGTGTTTGTGTTTGAAAATTCAAAAACGCCTCTATTCTGTCGCAGTGGAATGAGAGGGAAAGGGAATTGGGTATGAAATGACCGATTGGCTAAGTGGGAAGGGGAATTGAGTATTGAGAAAGTGGATACAAGTTGATTAAATACAAATTGATCAAGGAAAGCAAGTAAATATATTTGTTTAGCTTTTCATTATGATTAGTTAAGGAGTGTTTGTGTTTGAAAATTCAAAACGCATCTATTCTGTCGCAGTTTAATTTTAAAGAAAAAAAATGCGATAAAATGAAGAAAATGAAATTTTGTATGCCGAAAATAGTGGGTTTCCATTTTTGAGCCCAAAGAATACTGCTGGTTGTGTCAGTTCTTTGACAGTAAAGGAAAGAAATTGCACAAAAATTTAGAGCTTTTTTTTTTTCTAAACTTCTAAGGTTTGACGGATTGATTGTCAAAAAGTGAGGTGGAAATGCGTAAAAGAAACGATTCACTATAAGAGATAGGCTCATAAATTCTATCGGAATTGGCCAAAAATGGGAAAGAAAGGGAAGAGAAGGGAAGGGAAAGGAAAGGAAGGGAAAGGAAGGAAAATGTATGACGATACCTTCCCTCAATCCACCCCCATCTTTTTGATTGAACAATTTACGAGAAAAAATACAATTGGAATGTAAAAGCTATATAAAATAGCTTGAGTCATTCAGTTTTGACGTCTGAACAAAATGTTTTCGAACTCTTGAAAACAATTTCCTTATCGATCTTATCGATAAGGAAATTGTTAAATCTAGGCAAGGTGGGAATATCACGAGCATAAGGGGGTAAAAAGGTTCCACAATTTAATAACTCGATTAAAAAAGAAACTGTGGGAGCTTTTAGAGGAAACGGATGGTTGGCGTATGAGAAAAGGCACCTTCAATTCTGGAGGCGCCTCGTAGAAAGCCGAATTCAAAGAGACCAGAAAAAAGGGAGTCGGGATGAGTGCCTTTAACAATTTTAAAGCATTCCACTAAATCAATGATAAGGCGGCGTTGGTGTAACGTTTTAAGACCAAAGAGTTGTAATCGAAGAGAAAAGGCCCCTTCTGGAGGCGCATTGAACAATTGATAGTAATAAACTTGATAATAAAAGTAAAAATAAATCACTTTAGAACTGTTGTCTACATTTGTGAAACATTTTAAAATACAATAATGAAAACGTAAATATTATTAGACTACACAAGCTTAAAAGCTCAACAATTGGTTTTTAAAAGTCCTTTCATGCGTTCACTTTTGCCTTTAGAATTGAAACGATTACGCACACCAGCAAAGGACACCCGAGGAGCGTCATCGGGACAACGACGCATAGATGGGGAACCTTCAAGCAAGCGTCTTCGCGCGGATCGTCAGGAGTTGTCCCGATGACGCTCCTGACGTCATCGGGACAACGACGCATAGATGGGGAACCTTCAAGCAAGCGTCTTCGCGCGGATCGTCAGGAGTTGTCCCGATGACGCTCCTCGGGTGTCCTTTGCTGGTGTGCGTAATCGTTTCAATTCTAAAGGCAAAAGTGAACGCATGAAAGGACTTTTAAAAACCAATTGTTGAGCTTTTAAGCTTTGTTTATATAATAAATATTATACATCAAAATATTTCCATATTTCTCGTATAATATTATATTATTTATATTATCTTCTCTAAAAAATTGCCCCCAATCACTTGCAAAAGTCAAATATTGATTCAGAAATGAAAACCCTCTCAAAATAAAGATCTAAAGAGTTATAATCTATGTCTCTAGTCGATTTACGGTAACTCTAATACGGAAAGTAGATAGATTGAAGAGTTTACGGTAGCTTTTGCAGGTTTAAAAACGCATTAGTCAAGCGAAACATCGTTCTGATTCATAGAAGAAATCGTTCTGATTCATAGATTCAAATCAATAAAGAAATTTGAATGGTCAATGATCATCAAAAGAGTCAAGCTATATTGGATTACAAAAGCCAGAGTTTTTATGTGAGCACTGAAATCGCGAATTTCTCCGAAAGAGACAAACGGAGGGGGGTGACGATCCATTTGTGTAAATACCCTATCTTTTCCTCATTGTTCTTCCATCATAAATACCCCCAAATATGTCTTCTGACGAGATTTTAGTCATCTAAATGTACTTTTATCACATTTTCCTGATTCAATTCTTTCATCGACTCGAAGCTATTGTTACAATTTGTCCCTCTACCGTTTTCACAACACAACAAATCCTCACTGGCATCACCACTTTATCAACGAGAATACCAAGCACGGTTTGGTAATCGAATAGCATTTAAATAGTCGTATTTTATCTATTTAATATGTAAAAATTGAATTTGTTTAATACGTTAAGCTTATGAAATTATGCCGCTGAAAATCTGCTGCTTGGGCTTGGCTATTAAAGCGCTTTCAAAAAGTAAAAGTAAAAGTGCTAAAAGTAAAAGCGCTTTCAAAAGTTAAAAGTAAAAGCGCTAAAAGTAAAAGCGCTTTCAAAAAGTTAACTAGCTTAGCTAGAGTTTGACATAAAATCTTCGAATACCAAATGAAAACCCTATAAACTAAAGCTCAAATCAATCTCGAACCCAGGAATTTTTAGAGTGTAACATTCCCGACCACAGTCATCACCACACCCACAACAACCTTGTTGACCACAACGAGTTTATCTGGTGTAATTGAAATTTATTGATTTTAAATGTCTCCATTCTTTCAGCTTGCGCCTTTTGCGACCAAGCCGATATCACGATTGATCTCAACACCTCGGGATTTGCTGTGGTTAGTTTTTTTTTGATCAACAGCTTTTGTGATCAACAGCTTTATATTCAAAAAGTTTAGCCGTTTTCCAATGATTCAACAATGTTGGTGAATGGGTGTTTGGTGAGAACGTTCACGTGTTCATCAGTGTCACAAAATGGGGTGGTGATCATTTCGGTGAGGAAATAAAAAATGAGGATACTTACAGTACCCAATTCTATCCAATATCCATCTCTGTGCATTCTAAAATGAATCTGAATTGTTGATGGATTGAACAAAGAAATGATTTGAAGCATAGTACAAAAGCCGCTCAACCAGTCATTCAGGTAAATGGTGCACAACCGCAAGACTCGGATGTGGTCGATGGAATTGGATCGATATCGATTCAATTGACATGCGATGAGGATTCACAATGGGAATATCTCGTGGGAATTTGAACAAAATGAACTTTATTTAATAAATAAGAAGCAAGTAAAGAATGGCGATTTCCGGAGATAGGGTCGAACCCCTGACCCTTCCCCAGACCTCTCGCTTTCGAGCCAGATCCTCTAAACCACTGAGCTATCCCGGACGTTGTCGCTAGCGAAGACAGAGGAAATAGAAGGAGGAAGAGAAGGAAATACCCGGCTCTTCTGGACCTGGTTAACGAGTACCGATTAGAGTGCGTTCTTTCTCGATCGTTCTCTAAAACATGGCAAATTATACAAGCTACCTTAATCTTTTATCCAGTCTACAATAGAAAAATGTGTACAAGTTTCAAATATTGTCAATCAATTAACTCCTTTTCCAGGCCGATCCAAACGTTCCGACATCGATGTTTGTGGTGACGACGGTGATGTGTGAAGATTTACAATAAAGTTATCTACTCAAGAGTTATCAAAATAAAGACAAAAAATTATGTCAAACACTTTTATTATTATATTTTGCTTTAAAAGACATGTCAATTTGCCAAGAATTTTCAATTATTCACTCGATTCTTTTCATTTTCATTAAAGCGTCATCAAATCAAAGTCAAATCCTTTCTCTTACGATTGTAAAAAGCTTTCAAACTTTACGAGATTTAACTTTTGAAGAAATGAAAGCTGTAAGTGATTTTCTTTTGACCACCGTAATCTCTGCTCAACAATACAAAAGTTGCACGGTTAGTGGGATTAATCTAGCTATTACGGACACAAGGTAACCTTTTGAGTCTAATAAAAATGTTCCAACTGGCTCCTAGAAAGGCCTGGCTGATCCAGTTAATTGATCTTTTGCTCATCAAACCAGTTCAGTGTTGAGGTAATTTTGATTTTGATAACTAATAAAAACAGCATGATTCTTGAAAACATAGCTTTTAGAGTAGTTCGATAATTTTTGAGTTTCAAGAATTATCGAACTACTCTAAAAGCTATGTTTTCAAGAATCATGATGTTTTTATTAGTTATCAAAATCTTTTTTAGTTGATCGATCCATACTATGGAGTAAATCAAATGAATGTAACTTGCGGCATAAAGAAAAACGGTTGGGCACTGGCTTTCATTTCGATTAATGAGAATCGAATGGGATAAATGAAATTAGGGCAATAAATATTTGAAAAGAAACGTGAAAACTCGTTGATTGACTGAATATTCGATTGGAATAAGATTTGATTGAAATTAAAAAGAATTTAAATCAACCTGGTTAAACCGGGTTAAATCGGAAATATCTCAAATAACACACCAAGTTTGCTGTCTTGACAGCAAAATCTCTGATTACTGCATTTTCTGTAAATGAATCACGTTTTCGTTCCAAAGAAAATATTGATCAAGTTGATCTGAGTGATTTTCAAAGGAAAAACCCCCAGTCACAGGGCATCAAAGAACAAAGATGACACAAAATGGAAAAGAATGATTCATCTTTCTTTTTTCCTTTTCTTTTCCATTTCAGATGTGTTTATCATGACCGTTTTAAGGCCAGATGGAAAAAAAAAAGCCGCAAAAGGAAAAGACGTAAAAATTTTGCACCTTTTCTTTGTGATATTTCTTTTTGATAGAACGATTCTCTTCTCACTGCTTAGACTTCATAAAATCTGAACTAGCCATTATTTTCGATTTGAAAAAGTTTACTCATCACTGATTTTTGAAATATTCACAATAATGGACACTAATATATCGAATTTAGCCCCGAAAGCGAGCGATTATTGGGACGGTTGGTTGAATTGAATATTGTTGAGTGGAATTCTGTTGGTATTCAATTGTTAAAATATATCGTAACCGTAATTGTATGCTAAAACGAGAAATTATGGTGGCTTTTCAAAACTTTTCTCACAATTCTCCATTCAGAAATGCCAACATTTTACAAGACGGCCAACGTTTTTCTCTTTATAATCTTATTGGCAATTCTTGGGATGACGATAAAAATGCTGAGAGATGTGCTGATGAATGTGAAAGATGATCTTGTACAATCTGATCTTTTATGGGTATTGGGAACACCGTTGGTGAGTGGAAAATATAAAGAAGATGAAGAAAGATTGACATTACTCGAGGATTGGTATTTGATAAGATCCAGTGTTGAGCTGGTTAGATGCTGATTCATTTTTAGATGGTCACTTTGTGTTGTGCAGTTGGCAATATTTTTCCTCGATCCGCCGAATTGCTCTATTCGATTGGATTAATGTTTGAATCAAGAAAATTCTGATTCGAAAACACTTTTCTAGAATTTTGATGGTTTCTTTGTATAAAGTGGTGAGTCTGGTCTACAATGCTTTTGGTGGAACGGAGAAATTCTCGTATTGGCTTCAAGATCGGTTAGTTTTCGTATACGTCTTTAATTTCAAAGAAAAAATTTCCAGGGATCGCCGAATGCGACTTAATGTTCCGCCATTGTGTTGCTGCTGTCGATGTTTGCCGAGTCCAAGTCCTACTATGTATATCGTACCCATTGTAAATACTGTAATAGTACGCCATCGCCCTCGTACAGTCGCGTAGTCGCAAAAGTTTTTTAGTATTTTTTTTTCAAAAGCCGCATTCGCTTTCAAAAAATGCGTCTTTGGTATCAAAACATAGCCCTGAATTTCAGCTATTTTTTGATACCTAAGCGCGCATTATAGCCTAAACCAGTAAAAAAACGTGTTCAAAGCTAGACTACGGAACACTCCACACCGTCATTTACGGCAGTTATTCTTAAACAACTTATGAGACTCTAAACATCTAGCAAAAATTTTTAAGAGAGAACCTCCATCGCCTAAAATGGGTTGTTCTGCAGTCACCGGTCGTTCGTATCATCGTCCAGCTGGTCTTGTTGATCATGACCTGGGAGGAGATTGCACAAGATGCAAAGTACCATTATTGCAAAACAACTTGATCGATAAAATATCTCCAGATCGAATCAACTGGTCAACCTATTGGGTGTGATTTCGACAATGTTTGGTGTCTACGTGACACACATTCTCATCTCAATGGCTAAAGTCTGCAAAAGCCAAAGAAATGAGCATCCCCAATTTTCAGGAATTTCTTGACGAGCACGGGTTAATGGTTTTGGTGAGGAGTGCCGACTTGGCACAAGGACTTTTCACGGGAATCGTGAGTTCTATCTAAATCCTACCTATAATAGAAAGCCTTTTTTCAAATAACAATAATAATACCCTTCTGTAGAAAGCAATTTTCGATGCCATTGCTAAAAATTCAAACTTTGGTGACACGGATTTCATGAATTCGCAAGCGAATGGAAACTGTACGTTTTAAACAGTGGTTCAAATGAGTAAATCAATTTATGTTGAAATTAAAAATATTCAGCTAAATAATTGAATAGCCTTTAAACGTATATAACTGAGAAAATTCTTAAATTCAGTTTGTTTCAACGTCACCGCGTCAATTCTTTTCTTCATCTTGGCCCTTGTTCAATTCATTTTCGTTCGACCCGGGCGCTGCAAACTATTCTCAATGAAAATCCTTGCCACTGATTAGTAAATTATCTCGAAACTCGTGTTCTAACACAAAAATGCAGCACACAAACATAAAGCCGCGTTTGTTGAAGTAAACAATTTCTTTTTGTCAGTTTCATTTTATTCGAAACGCCGCTTGATCAGATTGTAGTTTGTAGAGGACATTCGCTTTTCATAGCATAACAGCTCAAACTTCTCACTCATTAACAATCAAGTTTCTTATTGTTGAAGCTTTTTTTTGCTTCTTATTCTTATTGTTAAAGCTATCAACATTTCTGAATTTTACGCTTTACTTTAGATCCGATCAGTATGAGCTTGAGTGAAGAATGGCTACGCAACAGCGCCACCCCTCACTCACAATCAGGTATGATTATGCTTTTAACTTCGTAAAAATGGATTGAGACAAATGCGTTGTTTGGTGAGAGTGAAAATGTTGTTTTTTTTAATTGTCGCTACTTTAGATTCTTCGTGTACATCTCCGGCATCCAACAACAATAACAATGACAACACTCCTCTTCCGGTCATCAACACTTTTCGGGATGATTGGTTCAAGAAAGTTCAAGATTCGGGACTGAGCTTTAAGGAAATCGACATCGATGGAAATAAAGTAATTTTTGATTATTTTAAAACTATGGCTTTAGTGGCGTCCAAATCATGACGTTAGAGTACATAATATACTTTCAGCTGAAAGCAAGAGCCGTCGTCGTAAGCGCCAACGAAAACGCAAACGAATACTTCCTTCGCTGTCCGTGCATTCTCGACTCGTTTGGTAACGACGTTGGAGCTATTTATTTGGATGTTTTCCAATGTCCGCCACCGAATGGAAGGCTAGTTGAATTTTGAATCTAATTCAAATTAGAATTTTAGTTTTATAAACATCGGCGATTGGCTCCATGTTCGCACAAACATTTACAAGAAAAATTTTGGCGCCAAGGAAATTACCCACAAAGTCGTCAAGGTTTGTATTGAGGCATGTTCATTTACGATGTTTTTTATAGATACTGGAAGTTATACCGAGTAAACTCGTTTGGTCGGAATTGCAAATCTTTCAACTAATGAGATCCAGCTTTATTGAGGTACTTTTATTTGTGGAAAACTAGAGATTGATTTCAATTTAGATTACGACGACCTTCATCTTGCCAAGTGCATTAAAAGAACGAGGCGAAGATGAGTGCATTTTGGAATCTGAAGACGGCTTGCAAGTGCGCTTCCCGACTAATCGAATCAACAAATTGATCGAAGACAATAGAGGTGCACAGCTAGTAAGTTTTCCATCTATTATGCTATGACGCTAAATAAAGTACAATATTTAAAGTTTCCGAATATTATAATCGATAGGTTAGAGTACCTATATCGAAATTTAACTTGTTCTTTTTAGAGAGTTCAAACCCTTGCCACGTACACTCGGCCATCGATGGGCCGCTACGAATGGCTAAGTGTTCAACAGAGCACACCCGTACGGTTTAAAGTTATTACTTGAGGTTAGTTTTTTATAAATAACTAGTGTGTATTGAGGCTAAGGTTATTTTGTAAATGCATTGACTTGACTAGGCTGTTTTTAAAAATCTTTTTGTGCTCGAGTTGTGTAATACTTGTGAATTTGTTTTGTTTTGTTTATGTGGAAGTGAGTGTAGTTTTAGACTTTATTGTTTTTCTAGTTTAGCTTAGTGATTGATTGCATTCGGGTTTGTAATAATTAATTTGTCTTTATGTACACGTGTCTTTTCACTTTTCGGGTTTAAACATTCCGGGTAACTTTAATATTTTATTAGTTAATCATCAGCTCACTTCTGTACTTTTTCAATGTGATAATGATTTGCATAATAGTTTTACATGATTTTTGCATTAGAATAAATTTTTGTACACTACAAATTAGTAGTATAGAATTGCTGTGGGGTAAAAACAATTTAGGTTTTACTTGGAGAGGCTGACGTTTGAATGAAAATTCGTTTTTTGTTAACTTTCAAAGAAATGACGAAACGTTTTCTAGAGATAGCTCATCATGTTTATTATTGGATCGAGAAAAATCTCGACCCGACATAAAAAGTGACCTATGGAAAGAGCGATATTGTGAAGAAAGGATAAGTTGTAAGAGAAAGGAGTCTATTTCGTAAAACACGTTTGAATTTTTAAAAAAATCGTTTTTTTTGTCCTCTGTGATATCATCAGGTTTTCGAGGAAACAAACAAGGGCACCAATAAATATCGGGTAATCAGAGATTTCGACAACATTCATAAGTCATTGTCTTTCATTTGTCATTGTTAAAAGTCTTTGCTTTCTTGTCCTCGTTAGTTTTGTTCAATATGTGGTCAAAAGCTTTCCACATTTTCTATTAGGATTGTCTCTCAATGTTTATCTTTAACCTTTTTTTAATGAAGACAAAAAGTTTGCAATGGAGGAAATAAACTAAAGCCTCCCAAAAATCAAATTCAGATCAAAATTTTTAGATATAAAGCATGTATATTTGTTATTTCTTTATTCTAATCGTTTCATTTGATGGAGTGTTTTCGAGAAATTTTGACTTTCAAAGGAAAGGCGCAAAGAGGGCATTGAACGAGTTCGAGAAAAACGAAAAAAATGAACAACAAAAGGTGAGATTGTTTGAGAGTATAAATTGGGAAACAATGCAAATTTCGAGCGCAAAAAGTTAACCAAAAATTTAGAAGACTTTTCTGGAAAAGAATTTGTGAGTGATGGAGGCTTGGCGACTTCGATCGATCCATCACTCGACCCATGCGATGATTTTTATCAGTGAGTTTGCGAGAATTCAATTTTTATACTGTAATACCGTAAAAATATGTAGTAGGAGCTTATTTCCTTTAGCAATTTCATTTCCTAAAACATGTCAACTTTTTTGGCTCATTGTCAGATTTGTGTGTGCCGGCTGGAAGCGATCGAATCCGATCAATGATTTCCACGCGGTTCAAAGTCATCCAAGTTCCCTTGTCACGCGAGTTCTCGTCAATTATAATCGTAAGTCAATTTTCAACTCGACGAATAATTAACGATTTTCTAGAATTGATCACCGAAATGGTCCAAAACCAGTGGATAATGGCGAGTCTGAAACGGGAACAATTGCTCTGGTTGCAGTACATTTTCTCTTGTGCGAATCTCGAGAAAGCCGGTCGTTTAGGCACAAATGTTTTCTTTGATTTGAAAAGGTTCGAAATTTGAGCATTCTTTGTGTAAATTTTTGTTTAGACGAATCAAAGCGGCGAATCTGCAAAATCTGACCGATTGGTTGATCTTCAATCACCCGTACACAGCTTTCTTCAATTCTGGCGTCGCGGCCGATGATCGAGATGCGACGAAAAATGTGATTTTGGTTGGATTTTGATTTACATAATGATTTAAATAATGATTTAAAGTTTAATGTTTTTTAATTTATTTCAAAAGCTAGAACAGTTACAATTTCCCAGCGCAAACTAATTGATCCTTTCAACTATTGATGTTTTTTTTTCCAGATGGCTCCATTGGAAACAATCCAAGACTGGTCAAGCTATTCATCTCCTCTCTATCGACAACAATTCCTCGCCGTTCAGAAATATCTAATCAATCTATTCACCCTTTTTTCCAATGACGATTTAGAGGTGAGCTTTTGAAAAGAAAAATTCTTAACAAAAGTTTTAGCATGCAATCTTTGAAAATAACTCGACAGCCGTTCAGCGAAAAGTCGCCAATATTCTGAAAGTCGATCAGCGATTGGCTAAGGTGAGAAAATGAAAATTTCAAATTTCAAATATTAGAAAATATTAAACTCCAAATTAATTAAAGAAAAGAAGAAATTCTCGAAAATTTTACCCCAAATTTTTGTTCAGATCCTCGCCTCGTATGTACCATCAAATTATACCGAAATGACGATGCCATTAAAAGACATAACAAAAGTTATCAAACAGGTTTATATGTTGAAAATTCATAACTTTAATTCATATTTAAAAAACACTAACAATTATTTCTAAATAATTTTCTAGATAGACTATCAGCGCTATTTTAAATCGACGATCCCGCGAGAAATCTTGGAGAAAATTGATATCGATGAGGTGAATAAAGGAATTTGATGATTAATTTAATGATTTAAATTTAAATAATCGTTTGTAATTGCTAGCAAAATGTTCATAAAACCCTTTTCCAGACAACAATTCACATTCGAAACGCGGAAGCGGTGAAGAAAATCGACGAGCTCCTCGCCGGACTAACCCGCGAAGAAATTGACGATTTTGGTGACTTTGTGGTAGGCTTTGATTTGTAAAATAAATTGAAATTGATTTATCTTTAAAAGCTTTCATTTTGTAGCCTTTTAGATTTAAAGCTTTTCCACCGTTTACCATAAAATACCTTACCGTTTACCTTACAGCTCTTGCAACACATCATCCCCTTTTTGGACACGCGAATCAAAGACATTGAAGATGTGAGGAGTTTTTCGCTTTGCCATAAAGCTTTAAAACTTAGAACTCTTTGTATTTTCGTTTGAAAATTTGATCTTATTCTTTTTCAGCAATACAAATTCGAAGCTTTGGGCACTCTTCCTATCGACGATACAATGGGCGATTGCCTGAAAGCGGGCATATCGAAATTTCCTGAAGTTGCCACAACTTTGTACATTGAGAGGTAAAAAAAAATGTACTACTGTACTATAATTACTGTTGTACTATAATTATGTATAATTTCTTTGATTCGCGTGTCCAAAAAGGGGATGATGTGATATAAATGTACTATAATTACTGTTTTTTTTTTCTACCAAGATTCTTTTTCAGATTCTATTCTCAAGCAACCACCGACAAGGTGAACTCAATCGTTGCGAATATCAAGATGGCTTTCCTCGAAATTCTCAATGGAAATAAATGGATGGATTCAAAGACGAAAATCGAGGCCAGGAAAAAGGTATTCAGGGAAAGGAAAATAGGGGAAAAAAAGAGATTTTAGGCAAATGTGATGACTCAATTTGTTGGATATAACAAGAAGATATTCAATGAGACAGCCGTTTCCGAGAAATATTCAACGGTGAGTGTGAAAGAAAAAGAATCACAAACGAACAAGGGAAGGACACCAGCTCGAAGTTGAGAATCGCTTCATCTCATAGAATGTTATGTTTGATTCTGAATTATGTAAACATTAGCTGCAAACAAGCACGTAATCGCAAGGAATCTGGCATAGAAAATCCTCTTAAATCCTCTTTAATTTCGGAGTCTTCATAAGACCTCCACAAGGGAACTTTTCGACGACTTCAATAGTCTAGCGGATAGTGTGTCAGCCTATAGAACTATGAAGTTTTATGGCTTGGGTTCGAGTCTTCATAGCATAGCCGATTCTATGAGATGCACTCGGGCACGAAGTTATTCTCAACTTCGAGCTGGTGTCATTTCCTTTGGGGAGGCTTTAAAGCACCAAAAATCAATCTCTCAGCTAATCTACCCCGAACCGATCTCCTATTTTGGCATCCGTGTCACCTATGATCGATGGAGTTCGGATCGAGCTTTCGAGAAATTGTTGAAAGGGAATTCCCGAGAAGATTTCGAGTTCTTGGCCACCACACCAAATGCTTTCTATATGGCCAGTCGGAATTCGATTGGTACACTTTGCTTTAGCAAAACAAACAGCAACAGTACACTTTGACTTCACATTTCAGAAAAGAAAATGACTATTCCTCTAAAAATCTCTCTATCATAATCATTTTAGCGATCCCTGTCGGAATCTTGCAAACTCCCTACTTCAATGTCTCCCATACAAGGTTGGGATTTGAATTTTGATCCAGTAAACATTCAAGAATGTCTACCAGGCTTGCAGGCGAAAAAAAAAAGCGGAAAATTGAAGATATTTTGATTTTCAAGGAAAAAGTCAACAAATGGAGCAGCTACGTTTTTCCGCTTTTCTCATCGCAGTGCGTAGCTGCCCCATTCGTTGGGTTTTGCCTTGAAAATCAAAAGCTATTAAAATGCTCCGCTTTTTTTTTTCGCTTACAAGCCGCTTACTTACCTCAAAAAATGTTTTCACCAAGATATTCTTTCTAGCGCTCAAAATTATGGTGCAATGGGATCGATTATCGGCCACGAGATCACACATGGTTTTGATGATTACGGTAGGCTGGGATGCTGCAAAAAAATAGTTTATACAAAGTTTTTAAAATAATAAAACATTTATAACTTATTTACGGGGGTGGGACAAATACTACCTTTTTTGCGCACCTTTTTTTTTGCTGGAAAAGGCTTTAGGCAAGGCCGTAGAGCTTTGAAAATATTTCCATATAAGGGAATCGTATGCGTAGATTCCGAATTTCGACAAATCAGACCTCGCTGACACGTTAAATTTGGGCTAAAAGGCAAAAACTGCGGAAAAGCGTTAAGTTGCGTAGTTTTTGCCTTTTAGCCCTAATTTGACGTGTCAGCGAGGTCTGATTTGTCAAAATTCGGAATCTACGCATACGATTCCCTTCTATGAAAACATTTTTGAAGCTCTACGACCTTTCCTAAGGCCTTTTCCAGCAAAATAAAGGCCGCATTTGTCCAGGTGCGCAAATGTTTAGGTGCGCAAATGTCCAGGTGCGCAAAAAAGGTCGCATTTGTCCCACCCCCCTTATTTACTGATCAAAAACGCGATTTAGGCGCCAAATTCGACGGTTTCGGCAATCGCCGTGATTGGTGGGACGGGAAAACGATGAACAGCTTCAACAAAATGACCAAATGTTTCGTGGATCAGTACGGGAAAACAAAAGTCGATCATTTGAATTTGATGGTAAAAAGAAATCGCCAAAAAAATCAATTGAGAAGTAAAAATTTCTCTAGATTAATGGAGCGAAAACGTTGAGTGAAAACATTGCCGACAATGGAGGACTCCGCGCCGCTTATAATGCTTTTCAGGTCAGCTCGTTTATAACGCTTTTTAAATCAAAGATTTTCTATAAAACTAAAGCTATATAACTAACAAATACAAAAATTTTTCATTTAGAAAGTTCTTCGCCGAGGTGAAGGCCGAGAACGGCCATCCGCTTCCCAGCTCGCCCAATACTCGCCCAATCAATTGTTCTTTATGGGATATGCTTATGTATGTTTCATTCTTAGCATATATGGCAGATATGCGGCTTACAATTTACAGATCTATTGGGTTGGTGAATTGAGAACTGCCGGACTTTGAACTAAAATTTATTCAACATAAAACCATAAATTCATTCGAAATAATTTCCATTATTATTGACGACTTCTGCCCATTTTACAGGCAATTTGCGGATTCCTCTTTCGTAGTTGGATTTTGGTTTGTGTGTGAGACAAGTGTGAGACTCAAAAATAGAGGACTGGAGATGTCCCAGTTTGAGCACTTTCTTCAAAAGAAACCCATTTTGGTGTCAATAGAAAAGTTGTAGAGAATCAAAAATGAGGCTTATAGCCAAATTTCCAAAAAGATACACTTAGTAGTTTCGCTTAAAATGCAAGTTTTGTGAAAATTCGTAAATTTGGCATTTCTTGAAAACCAGTTTTTGAATCGTGCTGAAAATTTGGATAGAAGCTTGATTTTTGATTCTCTACAACTTTTCCATTGACACCAAAATGGGTTTCTTTTGAAGAAAGTGCTCAAACTGTCACATATGACAATAGCCCGCAGTTTTCAATTCACCAACCCAATAATTTACTAATAGAACGCATGGCCAAACGTAACTTGATGGGAAACAATGATAAGTAGCAGAAATAAAGCACAAAGTCAAAGTGATCAGAAAATAAGAGTCAAATCCTTTGCAAGTACCATTTCTCTAGGTCTGGTGTCAATCGGTGAGCGATCAATTTCTTCTTGCAAACGTTCCAGGTGATGTCCATCCTCCAAATCGTCAACGGTAAGCCAATTCGGAATCCTATCTGCATCAGTAAAGATTGAATGAATCTCTGAATTCAGTGTCAATCTGGTTCTCCGAAATCTTCCACAATTCTCACAAGCTTTCAAATGTTCACCAAAATCGAAAATGATTGCCGGAAAGAAATGTAAAGTTTGGTAAAATGCCATCGTTTGTTTTTGAACTCATTTTCTTTTGCAATTCCCTCAAGTGCATTTTTGTTTGATCTCGATCTTTCTCCTGCTTTATGCTTTTGATTTCAAAATAAAAAAATTGAAATTTGTCTTGTAAACTCTTTATTCAATTATATACACACAAAAGCTAGATTGGAAAAAGGCTAAAAATCGTAGGATGTAATTCGAATCGAATTATGCCCGGATTTTTCTGTGCGCCAAACGCCAACGACGGAATCCGTGTTCATTTATGGCTTTCGGGGTTTCCGAATCGATTTCCTCAGATTGAGCCGAGACATCGTTGATGTGAAGGAGATGGGGAGATGGAGTGGGGTAGTTGCGGTCTAGAAATGGACTAGAAATCAGTACTGTGCTTGGGGCTACTGAAGTCGCTAAGTATAAAACAAACGAGCTGCTGGTGGAGGTCCATAAGCGGATCCAGTAGATCCCGATTGGCTGATTTGATTGCCTGAGACGCTCATTGTTGGTTCGTTGATCGACGAGAGAACAGAAGGAGAGAGGGATCCTTGTTGGAAAGATTGGGGAAGAGTTTGAGGGAGAGCCTGGGGGAAACCGCCTGGAATTTCGTGTTCAACTTTTTATCTCAAATTCTAAATGAAATCTTTTACCCGAGACAGTGATTGGCTGTTCCTGGACGACGAAAGAAGTAGGGACAGGCTGGGGTGGAAGACCGTAAGATGAGGCACCATAGCCGAGATTCGTGATTGGTTGTGGGCGTTGGTAGTTCTCTGAAAATTATCTTTAGCGTAAACTTTTTCTTCAAATCTTTTCTTTAAATCTTCAATCACTTTCCCCTACCAAATGGGTATTGAACGGGTTGAGCTTGACGCTGGAAAGAGATCATCTGGGTAGGGTTTGACTCTAGAAATGTTTCGTAGGTTTAAAAAGTTCGAAAAGCTTACGAGGGACAAATCCTTGTCTGACGAAAGTTCTCGGCTGGAAATCCTGTTGGAATTGTTGGGGGAAGGATTGTTGTTGGAAGGATTGTTGGGGGAAAGATTGGAAAGGATCAGGACGAAGGAAATGACGGGGTTGAGTGGTGACAGAGGTGGTGGTGATTGGGGTAGGAACTGAATGGATGAGTGAGATGGAAAGTTTTGAAGAATTTGAATGAAATCTTGTATCTTTTAAAGTGTTACCCCCTCCTCCATAGGCATCAGCGGAGACAGCGACGAAAAGACCGACGAGGGCGAAGAAAGAGAACATGTTGGTGCTGAAACTATAGTACTATAGTTGAAAAAAAAACAAGAGACTAAGATTTTACAGTAGTCAAGAGATTTCTAGATTATAAGAACTCTTTTTAGGAGTTAAAAAGAAAGAAATCCAGGCTGAAGATATCAAAGAGAAGTTTTGATGAAAGCCTAAAGAAGAAGATATTCAACTGAAGCTGTAGTTGAAGTGAAGTGAGAAGTTGTTGATGTTCTCCTCAACCATTGCATCCCTATTTATACTCTTCTGTTTTCTTTTGATCGTTTCACTCCTCCGATTAGACACCTTTTTTGTGTCTCTTTCTCCTTTTGGAAAATCCATTGTGACAAAGGGATTTACTCGCAAAAGTCACACAGACACAGAAAGCCCCTTTTCCTCCTCTTTTTTTGGGGTCTCACTTTCTCACTCTCTGTATTCTCATCATATTGAGCAATAATCGGATTGTTTGAAGACAAGAAGAACCCTTCTGGTGCGAAATTTCTTTGTTCGTTGAAGAACTCTTGCATTTTCTTATTTTGACCTCTCTAAAGCTATTGTCCATGATCGTCACACAGTTTCTTTCCAGCTGACCCTTTTTGTTGAGCATAACCGTTGACGTAATTGGATTTTCAAAACCCAAACTTTGCTTTAAATTCTAAACCAACAATTCGCAAAACATTTACATCGTCGGAACAGCTTTTTGGGACGTATTTATTGACTTTAAATGAAGAGTAAAAGTTAAAACAACTGTTAAAATGAAAATAATCTATAGGGAGACCACAATAAGTTACCCGGGGTACAGAACGATACACGTAAAACAAAAGATTTAACGACTTCAAAACAATTTAATAAAAGTTAACCGGGAAATGTTAAAACCGAGAGAACCGATCAAAATAAACAACATATATAATCATAAAGTAACGTCCGAAATCGTTTAATCCTAGACCCTCATGCACTCGGTGAAAAAGCCTAAAAAAGAAAATGGTTAAATTAAAAAAAGCGAGTAACGACAACAAACCTTTGTGATCCGAAATGTTAGGCGCCAACACGTCTTCCTTTCCGGCGGAGGCCAATTTGCTGAAGGGATTCACAAATTCTCCTTCGGCATTGTACATTGACACCTACATACAAAGTTTCAGCAAATGCAGATTCAATTGATAATTTAATTCTTGTAAATAATGAGAAATTCAAACCTGCTCATCTTCTATCGTTAAACCAAAATTTGCTGTCACAGCTGGCGCCTCCAAAAGTTGAAGTACGCTTTGAGCGAGTGGAATTCGCGATTCTCTAAATGATGACACCAATGAACCAATCAATAAATGACCAACAAACCCTAACATTTGTGAGCAGTCTCTGAAAATTGTTCCGTATCCTATGGCAATTGTCCGCTTTTCTTCGGTTGTTGTCAGATTCCTAAAAATAAAAATAGCTGAATTAATGAGTAAAACACCCCACTTGAACTCCTCAAAACCAGGACCGGCAACACGTTGCATAATCATTGAAAAGAGGCCAGATTGAATTGATTCAAGAGCCTAAATTAACAATAGATTTCAAGCTATAAAAACCTTTTAAATTTCGACTTACCCGAGCCAAAGTAGAAGCATTAAGAATAATGGCAAACTTGGCAAGAAAAATCAAAAAGTTCTTTGCAAAGCTAGGTGTTCGACTACCCTAAATGTGAATTATTTAATGATAAAGCTCTGCGTTTAAACAACCTGCAGACGTTTGAGCATGTTATTGAAAAGCACGGCGTAGGGTTCAGTCACCCCATTGGCAAACTAAATCAATTAGTTGAATACTTTCCAGAACAATAAAAACATACTTCCATGCTCGGCAACACAGCAAAGGCTAGCTGAAAACCATACTTGTCAAGATTTTTAGAAGCAATCAGTCTGTAAACAACGTTGTTAAACTAACTACTTGAGTGAAAACCTAGTGTATTGGGCAAAGATAGTCGTTCCATGCTCGTTCATGACTCGCTCAGGTGCTGCCTTCAAGTAGATTTCAATCAAATACAAGGCTGCGGGGACATTCGAAGATCTAAAAACAAAGTAAAGATAAATTAAGCAAAAAAATTACCTCGCCCATAGCTCGGGTCGCAAGAGAAATCCCAAAAATCCGAAGTACGCATCCTTGGGTGCATCCCGAGTGATGCAAGTCAGTAGCAAGACGCCTAGGACAGATCAGATTTACAATTAGATGATTTTGGTCATTTATTTACCTGTTATTTGTAGAGCATATGGAATTAAATCTTCGAGATTTTGGGCCAATATTGTTTCAACAAGCGGTAATAACGATGAATCTAGACCGCCAGCAACATGAGAAGAAGCCTAAACACATAAACTTTTAAATCAACAGCTAACTATTAGTTTACTTTGAATTTCGGTTAAAACAAAAATTACTTTTTTAATCAGGATGCACATTGTTTCAAAGAGGAAATGGGTATGAACTGGGTTTGCTTGATTCTTGATCGCCGTCTCAACCATTGTCACTAGACGAGCAGCTATTTGTCCACCAGCCGACGCCGTTGAAGCCTTAACAAGCATATATTTTCTGATTTAAGAACAATACGGCTACAAAGCGTTAAATCTTACATCCATTACGCCAACGACTCTCATCAATGCCTTAATCAAATAAGGAGACATTTCGGCCTTTGGATCAGAATCAAAACAGCTAACAAGTGCTGTTAGAAGTGGCGCCACTTGGACGTTCGCCGATGAAAAGATTGGCTGCTAAACAGATATTGACGCATAACAGCAAAACAATAAGCTGACCCCGTTGATTCTCATGATAAGTAACCGCTCCAAAGCCCAGGCAGCATATTTATGCACCTAAAGTCTATCGTTGAGAGTCTAACAAAACTTGTTACCTGTGTTTTGGTACTGCCCAAGAGTGCCAACAACACATTAATTGATGCAACGATGTCCTCGGGCGCAATTTGATTGCGGAATGTAACCAAGAACCTAAATACTTATAAAGATTAATATCCAGTGCTGAACTTACTTGATTGCATCAGCTTTCAAAATCGCATTTGAATTGATATCGGTGACCAAATCAGAATGTACGTTGCTGCGGTAATATTGGGGAATATCAATCTGAAGACCCTTTAAATAAAATCAACGGTGCGTTAGCTACCAGCGTACTCGTGTTAGTTGCTCCACTTTTATGAGTTTCTCCCTTTGATGCCATAGCAGTGACCAGACAATAAATTACATCTTTCTCATACCAATTGTTGTTGCCGCTTTTAGATGCAATCTCCTAAATTAAAAACAGCAAATTATACAGAAATTGATTTTACCTGTGATAGAATGGCCGCAATTTGTGGTTCAAATCTTTTGCAGAGACTCCGAACGAGGTCAATTCCACCTCTTCGCCGGGTTCCCGTATCCGTCCCTAAAAATTATAAAACGTCATGAGAAACTACAAAATTTATCCACCTTCAATATCCTTTTTCATATACTCAAGTGGCTCATCCTCAAACATCTCGATATCCTCCTCCCTAAAAAAGAACGAATAAATTATCAAACACAATAAATATGTACCTCAAACGAAGGTTTTTGACAGCCACATCGATTGCGATTGTTTTGAGAACTTCTTCACTTTGGAACATCGATTCATATTGAGGGCGCTCGCTGATTGCTGACAGAAAATCCAAAGCCGCACAGACCATACCATCATACCTAAAAGAGATAATAAAAATAAGCAAATGAATATTCACCTTGTTTCAACGCCGGTTTGCACCAGAAGATTCCAAATCGCTTGCGTAAACGGTTCCATATACGGTCGAATCTCTTCTTCGTATCGTTGTGCATACAATGTGACAGTTGTGCAGATTTCAGACTAAAATACAGCTGCAAATGGCATATACGCAAGTCAACTGTACTTTGATTTTGTCAAGAGCTGTGGGTTCCCCGGCAGCGCTAGTAATTCTGTCTTCGGTGATGGTGAGAAGTTTTAAAAAGCCGTCCATCCAAGGGCCCAGGCTGTCTTCAAAAAATTCCGGTAGATCTTGGCTGATCAACGAATGGTAAATGTGAGAAATGAAGAGAAGAATCTAGAAAAATTTTTGATAAAAATGAAAGACAAATAGATGGCTAACCTCTAACCAAGATCCCACGTCTTTCACGTTCATCTGTTCCCTTTGAGGAATAAACGCAGCCATCTTGATAAAAAGTGTCGTTAGCGGTTCCTGAGTGGCAATCAAACAGATCTTTAATTCGGTCCAAAGTTCGGTTGACTTGCTTTCATGCCTAAAAATATCTATCTCATGCACCGAACGTCGAGCTATAAAATGCGGCAATGCAAATTAATTTACCTGTATTTTTCAAACAATTGATCTAAAGTGGAAAGTGTTGCAACAATTTTGTCGAAATCATCTTGTGTTAACAGAACGGCGAGCGAAGAAACCAAATCGGGCCATCGTTCAGGGAAATCTTTCTAAAAACATTGTTGATTAAATTAATACAATAAACCAAAGGTACCTTAGCCATCAGATAGACTGTATGCGAAAGTTGACTTCGGATATTTCCTTGACTAGCGAGCATTGCCTGCAAAGCGGCCGTTCGAATCGTCTTCTGCTCGGTTTCTGGTAGTTCTTGTTCAACGTGATCACTCTAAAGGAAAAAAAAAACGGATTTTAGCATTATAAACAAAGAGTTACCCATAATCTTTTCACAAAGTTCTTGAGAGCCACAGCGGCAGCTATACGAATCTCGGCTGGCGCCTCATTATTCACCACCAACTCGATTAACATTACCCCAAAACCTGAAAAATGCATTAATTAACCTGTTCCAAAAGTTTCGAAACGTTAAAATTGATGTAAAAAAGTCATACCTTGTTGCATTTCGAGCCCCAAAAGCTGTTGTTCGGCGGCTTTCCGGACGGAAGCATCCAACTCCAAGGTCGCGTTGAGAATTTGAGCCAGCTGCATCAAGTTTTCGCTCGCCATTTCTGGAACAAAAACAATTTTAAGAGGAAAGATAAAGCACAAAGTTTTGAAACAAGGTTAGGTAGATAAGAGATTAAAAATCGGTGAAAAACTTTGTAGGGGCAAAAGACAAAATTGGGCAAGACGAGTTTGTTTTATAGCTTTTTTAGCTACATTTGATATTCAGTTGACGCGTAGATGTGCTCGCATCAAAGAAAAACGTTATGTAATGAAGGTTTCCGTCGCGAGCCAAGACTTGACTATCGAGAGCTTATCGATATCGAGATCTCGATAAGTTTTCAAAATCTTTAAAAATTGTAAAACCCAGGTATGGAATATCGACAATTGTATTCAGCGCATCGAATTACCCCAAAATAAGCCTCAGTTAAAAGGATTTGACGGAGAATCAACTGAAGTTTTACCACTATCAATAAACTTATCGAAATCTCGATAGTCAAGTCTAAGCGAGCCACAAGAGTGTTGATAAACAAAAATTGAAAAATCTTCGATGCTCTTACTTTTCTCCAAACCCTTTGTAAAAAGTTCTCTCTTTTCCCCTTTCTGTGCCCCCTTTAGCCATTTTTCTGTTTTTGAAATTCGCCCCTACTGTTACGGTAATTTGTGCAGGTTTTTGGAGTTACATATCCGGGTTTTTTTTCTTGTTTTCATCTTTGAGTACGGCAGCATCAATTTATCTTTTATCAATTTCTAAAGTTTTTATGTAATTTTAATTTTAGATCATGAAAATCAACTCCGAAAAGAAGCCTGCTATAAAGAAGAAAAAGAAGATCGCCAGCAAAAAGAAGAAAATCGACGAGAAATGTAAGTTTGAAATTTTGATTTTAGCTAGAGAAACTTGGTGCTATTGGTAGTTACTAGTTTGTTCATGAAGTTGTTGATTTTTAATTTGCTTTTAACCTAAAAACACTTACTATTTTATTTAGTTGCCGAAGATCGTCACCTCACCAAGAAACTTGCCGAAAAGTTCGCGAAACAGAAGAAGAAAGAAGATGATGGAGCCGTGCTCAAATTCAAGGTGAAAGACGATAAACAGAAGGTAGAAACTTAACGAAGTCACTAATTTATTATTCATTTAGGTTTCCGTCGAAAACTCTGCTTCGCATAATAAGATCATCTTGCAGGCGGAGGAGAGGCATGTGAGCAAACAGTATCAGGTAAGGTTAAAAATAGTGGTAACAGCTACGCAATTTTATATGCAGTAATATAATAAAGATTTAGCTTGAACTTCGAAACGATGCTCTCTGCTCTCAATTCAAGTGTGCTGCTTGCTCACAACGATCAAATGTGGACGACCTTGGCGATCTTTTGGACCCTATTATGTACGTATCAAAAACCCGGATCATTGGCCCAATTTTCTGATCAAAAAACCAGCAAAGGTATAAATTTTTTTGCTTCAACATTTAAATATTGTTTTGTAGATTTCAAAGAAAGATGAGTTCCTAATAGACGTTTGGCTACATGGTGATTGTGTCTTGCATCTACCAAAGGTTTTTTTACATGGAGGAGAGCTTACACATTTAGAAGAGGTTATCAATCAATCATGGAAAAATGTAAGTTTAGAACTAGTATGTTTTTATGATAGTATGTGTTTTTTAGAAATGCGTGGTATGCCATGAAGTTGGTGCATCGATCATTGCCGCGGCATCGGGGAACGCCCATTTTCCTTGCGCAAAAAAAAAGGGTTTTTTGTAAATTTCGTTTTATTGTTATTTGCTCGATGTGATCGCTAATAAATATTTGATCTCTGTAGCCTTTGAAGTTAAAGCCGTTGTATCAAGTATTTTACCTACATATTCTTTTTTAAATGATTTTGTGTACTTTTAAAGTTTCAAGTGTTCTTTTAAGAAAATGAACGCTAATGTGCCATTTCGTTCGTTTCAAGAGAAATTCCAACTTTGCATCGAAGAGCGCACGACACCGACGCTTGCTTCGCAGGTATCTTTTGAAATAAGGAATTAGTTACAATCTTTAACTTTTAGATTCGTGTAGAAGACATGTGCCAAGACGAGGCTCAAAAGTTAGGCCCAAAAGAAGACGAAAAAGAGTGGAAAATGGTTGGTGTGATTTATAGTCAGACCAATGCAGGTTGAATTCCAACTAGACCTTTTTAGCCATTCTTCGATCGGGATCATCATTTAGCTTACACATTTGCTGATCTGTCCAAATGTCCAACGGTAAGCAACGGAAGTGTTCTTTAGAATTTTCTTTTTTTAGTATTTGGACGCGTCGAGACCTTGGTTGTGCTATTGGAGCGTGCACTCGCTGAATTTACTGAACCAGACGTTCTCCCATGATATGAAGAGCAAGATTGTCACTTTTTTGAAGACATGTGAATCACCTGAAGGCGGATATGGAGGTATATACTAGATTAAATTTATAGTATAAACGGTTTTTTAGGTGGTCCTGGTCAAATTCCACATTTGGCTCCTACATATGCTGCCGTACTTGCGTTGGCAACTCTGCGTTGTGAAGAAGCATTGGCTTCGATCAATCGGTTAGGAAACGATTTAGTAACCAATATATATATATATGTATATATTAGAGAAACTCTGGCCAACTTTTTGCGCTCTGTGCACCAAACCGACGGAAGCTACATTATGCATACAGGAGGAGAAGTTGATATGCGAGGTTCGTAACTGGGTTTGATCTATTGCATCAGGGTATTTGCTACTTTAGGAGTCTATTGCGCTTTGGCTGTCGCAAAGTTGACGAAAATTCTCGATCAGTCAATGATTGAAAATACACCTGAATGGATTATCAGGCATGTTTAAATATATTTGTTTTCTAACGTTTTTGGGATAAAATTTATGCTCGTGATTTAGCTGTCAAACTTATGAAGGTGGCTTCGGTGGTGAACCCGGAACCGAAGCTCATGGCGGCTACACATTTTGTGCAATGGGAGCTCTGACTATTCTTGGAAAAGCAAAGTGATTTTCTTAAATGTTTATTGGCACTAGTTTATATTTTAGATTAGCCGAAAAGGATAGTTTGCTGAAGTGGCTTTCAAATCGTCAGATGCGCTTTGAGGGCGGCTTTTGTGTAAGGCATATCACAAACATCAAATCTTTTGATTATTTTAGGGTAGAAGCAACAAGTTGGTGGATGCCTGTTACAGCTTTTGGCAAGGTGCTGTTTTTCGACTCATCGATATGGAATTGGAAAAGTTAGTTAATAGTTTGAATAACTGGTATAATTCTTTTTAGGGAGGAACAGCCCACACTTGGCCTTGCATTTGATACGCGTGCTTTGGAAGAATATTTGTTGATTTGCTGCCAGGTACAACCCATATTTAATTCATCTTTTGGGAATGTTTAGGATCTCTAACATACTTAAAAATTAAAATTTTGTTTAGGATCCACGTGGAGGATTTCGTGATAAGCCCGATCGACCAAGAGATCTCTACCATACTTGTTATGGATTGAGTGGCTTGGCCGTTGCCCAAAGCTATGATGAATCAAAGCAATTAATTCTTGGCGGAGAAGCAGCTTGTTTGGTATGTGATTTTTCAAGTATTATATAAAGCTTTGTTAAGCCTCCAATTGACCCAGTTCTGAACATCACCGCTGAGAGTGAGACTTTTGCCAGCAGCTATTTCGAGCGTCTTTTGTCATGTTAATCTTAAAACTTTGTTTGTTTACTTCTGCACTGGATATACGTGTATAAATTACAGGTTTTGTGATAAATTAAACTTGTATTTGTTCCTTTAAAGTTTACGTTTCAATAAAGTTTGCATTTTGTAAAGTGGGAAAGTGAATGAGCAATGGTGAAATTTCTGATGCCTATCTCAAGTTTGTGTAAAGAAAAAAATAGTTGAAGTTCAACTTTTCAGTGGTAGATGAAAGAACGCATAAAGAAAGTCGATCAGGCTTGGGAGGTATTTTTTTTTTCGAGACGAAGTTGAGTTTATTTATTTATTAGACGGCCCCCCAGAAGAGCCATACTGGTAGAAGAAGCGAAACAAATGGAAAACCGACCGAGAAAAACAATAAACCAAAAGTACCAAAGAAGCAGTTTCCTTTTGTGAAACACCAGGAAAATGCCAAATGGTATGATTATCAGGTGCGTTCTCAGACTTTAAAAGAAAGTTTAACGCATGGAATAGCAATTATGCAGATTACTTTAGATAAACGAAAGGCTCGGAGCGGACGACTCGACTCTTCCAACTGAAAAGTTTAAAGAAATATTTGATGAGGCACACATGCTTTTACAAAACGATGTTTATCTCTACAATCAATGTACGGTGGCAGTTTGTTGACTCTAACAAAGTACGTTTAGTGATGAGGTCACAAGGCGGGTCTGAAGCGGCATGGTTACAGACTGTGGTTTCGAAAGGAACGTCCGGCGATCGAATGACAGCTATGCAACTGCAAATCACAAAAGTTTCTACTTATCAAATTCTAAAGACCGATCTTTATTCAGAGTCCTGTCCATGGGATATCTTTCATCAGTGAACTGGTTCGACAGTGCGAGAAGCAGAATATCCGGCAATCGATGGAGACTATGCGTTTGTAATACTTACTTTTCTTTTCTATAGTATATTCTAGCTCTCTTGGAAAAGATTTTGATTGACGAATTGTTGCCCGAGACGAGGAAGTTGATTTCATTTGAAATGGTTGGTTGTAGCTTCGATATTTTTAAAAAGTCACTGGGAATATTTATAGCAAACTTTTGTTTTAGCGCCCACTGGCTCGACTAAACGAAATTGCTTCTGGTAGTGAACAAGGACGAAAACGAATCTTGGTCTTGTGGATGTTCGAGCATGAGCTCAAGAAGATTTATGCGTCTTTTATTAAAAGTCTTGAAGTAGGAGCGTCTTGACAACATCACCAACATTGCCAAATTTAGCTATTGGCAAATGGAGCAGTTGAAACCGCAATTCTTCGCTCAGTTAAAATTATTTCCAACCTATTGGCAGAAAGGCCAGAAGCTGAGGCGGTAAGTAGCAAGATTGTAAAAGTATATTTGTCTTTAGCAACTTCTCACCAGTCTTGTCAACAAGTTGGGACATCCAAATTACAAAGTATTAGTCAACTATTTTGTACTTGCATATATTTTTTTGTTTAAGGTCGGTGCTCGAATTGCTCATTTGTTAGAAGGTGTTTGTGCAAGACAGCCCGCTATGAAACAAGTGGTCGTTACTGAGGTTGAGCGACTAGTTTACAGGTTAGGAAATTCTTGAATTGAAAAGAATGCCAAAAACTTTAGAAAGAATATCAACGATCGAGGACACCTTTATGCGGCAACCTTTCTTTCACAATTACCATTTAGGTTTGTGCTTGTTAAGCTAATCGACTCTATTGAATCTTATCTTTAGTCGTCATGATCCAGAATTGGCTGTTCAAGTGCTTTCGATCTACTTCGGACTCTTCAAAACTTTGGTGGCTCGGAAAAAGACAGAACCAAGACTTTTGCGCATTTTATTGACGGCTTCAAATCGAGCTTTTCCTTTTGCAAAAGGTTAGTATTGTTATATAGAAAAAGTTTTTAGATGACGCCATAAGCATAAAAGAACAGTTATTAAACGGAAAGAGAGAAGTTTTTTAGCCAAAGCCGAATCCCTTGTTTCGGACATCGACACTTTATACAAATTGATGCACACGTCAACTTTCACTGTTTCTTTGCAAACCCTGAAGCTGCTCTTTCAAGTTCTTGAGCTTAGGTTTCGTTTTGAAATTTCTTTTATTTAATTGAGATAATTTTTAGTGATTCATTTTCCGATCGCTATTATTCGGCACTGTATCGGAAGCTTTTTGATCAAGTTCCCGCGAAAATGTTTCGACAATTTTTAAGCCTACTTTTCAAGACGATGAAAGCCGACACAATGGAAACTCGTGTTCGTGCTATGGTGAAACGATTATTGCAGGTATAGACTTTTTACTTAGTTAAAATAAACATGTTCTGCATTTCAATTTTAATTTGCAGGTTGCTGTGAATGATTCTGCTCCTTTTGCTGCCGGAATTCTCGTTTTGGTTTCGAAGTTGGCCGAGGAACGTCCTAATGTGATAATGCTGAAACGGTTATCATCCGTATGTCAATTTACCCTAGACTGTTAGCATGTTTATTCAGATGGCAGAACTTCAATCTCCAAAATCTGCTGCGACAGCAGTCAATGAGGATGATGATGAAGAAATCTACGTAGATTTGGACGATGAAGGGAAGCCGATTAAACCAATTGTAAGCACGTCTTTCTTTACTCAAATATCTTTTTCAGAAGTCGGAGATTGTTAAAAAAGAAGGAGAAAATGATGTGAAACCTGACAAGGATAAACTTCAAAAGGCTGGCGGCGGTAAAAATGGTCAAGGATGGGTCCATAAAAACAATCAAGGTTTGTTTTATATGATGCGACCTCTTGACATACATTAAGTCAATTTAATCTTTTTAGCACATCGTGGAGCGATTTCCATTTACTCGAGTGAGGCGAGAAATCCTCTGTTTGTAGCGGCAAATGACTACGTGGATACTGAGCTCGTTCTTTTGTCGAAGCATTACCATCCGTCTATCGCAATTTTTGCAAACAATATTCTAAAGGTTTGATGTTTGCTTTTCTAGAATCTTTATTTGTTTAGGGTAAAGCTATAAGATACAACGGGGATCCACTTGAAGATTTTACTTCGATTCGATTCCTTGATCGATTTGTCTACAAAAATCCAAAAGATAGGAAAGCTATCACTTCCACAAAGATTATTGTAAGTTTGCTAAAGGAATTGAAAAAATAAATTTAAATTTAGCGAAGAAAAGTTTACGATCCATGGGGTGTCAAAAAGTTGAAGATCGCTTCTCGGGTTTGCTTTCTCTATAGTTTATTAACTTTTTTGGTTCAGGAGTATTTGATGAAAAAACAAGAAGAAATTCCCGCAGATGAACGCTTCCTGCATCGCTTTGCTACACTCAAATTTCAACCAAAAGTATCGACTTTAGTTAACTTTAAGTATAACTCAAAATTTAGGAAGCTGATAAGACCAAAGACGAAGATTGGGATGAGATTGGAAGTGTTAACAGCGAGGAAATGGATCGTTTGCTTGGTAAGTTGGTTTTACGGTAATCAAATGTCTTCCTATGTATTTTAGAACGACTTGAACCAGGAGAAGCTAACGATGAATTCGATATTGACTTCAAGAATGAATTTTCGGTTGAGAAAAAACGTAAAGAGGTAAGAAAAAAGTAGCTGTCATTGGAATGTTGCCTTCCAGAAACCACAAAAGCGTAAAGCCGAAGAATCCGATGGCGAAGACGATGATCTACTCGAGGATGGACTGAGTGAAGATGAAGATGGTGGAGACGAAGATGATGTTGAGGATGAAGATGAGGTGCGCTGGAAAGTCAATTTATTTTTTCCAATTTTCTAATAGGATGACTGGGATGATGAGGATGTCGAAATGGAAGGCGACGAAAGTGATGAGGAAGATGATGGTGGTCTTTTCTCTCGAAAAACTAGCAAGAAAAAGGTGCCATTATTTTTATTGTTGTTTTCAAATGTAGAAGTTACATATTTGCAGGCTCTATACTGTAAATACATGTTTAGGGTGGCATGGATGATGAGTCCGATGACGAAGACTTTGGTGATGCGGATGCGTTTGTTTCGGCTGATCGGGTATAATTTTGTCTGGAGGACACATCATTCCTCTTCAAATTTACGAAATCAACCTTGTGTTTAGTTTGCCGAAATGCTGGAAGAAGGTGGTGAAGATGAGGTCAACAAGAAAATTCGAAAGAAGATCAAGAAACCGAAAGGATTTAAAAAGCGTCGTTAGTTCTGTTATCATTTTTACTGTTACTGTTATTGTTAAGTTTCATGTTGTTTTTCTGTTACTGTTATTGTTAAGTTTCATGTTGTTTGTTGACTGTTTTTGTGATAGACTTTCAAAGTTTATTCAATAAATTACGTTTTTACATGGAAGCTACCAAAGAGGAAAACCCGATGAAAAATTTGTGATTTACATAGACACACGGAAAGAGAAACCCGTCGAAAACTCGTACTTTGGCAAAAGAAAAACCCTCACAAAGCCGTGATTTCTATCGAATTCTCGGCTGAATCTCGGGGATGGCTTTGGTGTGAATTAGGAGGAAAATAGCGATCGGGACAAGGTAGAGTAGATTGTGAGCAGAAAGAATTGGAAAAGGAATCGGGTGAGAAGCGAAACGGCTCGGAACGGGCAAATCGATTGAATCAGCTGAAAATTATGGGAGTGCTTTTCATTAGAATTTAGTGATTATTTAGTTATTTTTAAGCACTCACCTGGAATCTCGTTGTAGAAGTACTGTGACATTGCGATATGCAATAGGGCAAGCATCACAGGCGATATTCGCAGCGGTTTTATACTTTCTGAGATCATCTGTAAAAGGATTTCCATTCATAACCATTGAAAAATCAAATGAAAACATGGAAATAGATTCGGAATAGATGAGAACATTTACATATTTCGTGAGAAAGACTTTTTGGAGTTTTGGCAAAAAGTGACAAGTGAAAGCTGAGAAGGGAAGCCTATTCAAAGGGGTTTTTTTTACCATTTGTGAAAGGGAAAACGAAACGAGCAATTGGGGAAACAAATAAACGGGAAAAACGAGTCTTCCGAGCTTTCCCTATAATTCACAAAATTTACAATCTATAATGTTGATTGAAGAGCTTGTAAAACGGCGGAAATCTTCAAATATTCAGTTTTCCGCTTTCAATCCTCGCTCAAAAAGCTCGAGCCACCTATTCCAAACCGAAATTCGAAATGAATCGTTCGCGATTTCTTTCAAAAAGCAATACTGACACGATAATGGATATGGGAATCGATTCGAAAATCTAAAAAGGATCAATTTTTCCCCCCCCCAATGCGAATGGAAATGAAAACGGAGTGAGTATTTTTTCAGAAAAGAGGACAATGACCTTGATTTATTTCCCCCGCTTTCGATTCTTTTAACTCTATTGTATTGCAGAACCATTGAAAATGGGAACTCTCGACGAGAGGCTTCTCATGAAAAATAGAGAAAAATGGGGGAGTGAAAAGAAGCGGCAGTGAAAAAGCTGCTCAACAAAACAAGTATTTGGTTCGGCTTCGGTTTGACGGTTTTCATTGTGTGACTGCTGGTGATCATGTTCGGGATTAAAATCAAATAAACCTGTTGTTTTGAGAAGGAAATTCTATGACTGAAGAAAGGAGAAAGAAGAAAAACAAAATTCACTTATCAAAAAGCGTCTTCTTTACTCCTTTTCGGCCAGAGAAGCTGGGCGTTTTTTTTCCGCAAAAAATATCAGCTGTTTGGCGGGGTGGTTACCGCGAAAATTTGATAAATTGATGGCTGTGACAAGGAGTGTTTTTCTCCCGCATCGACTCTATTTTGATCGCCGATTCAAAATCAAGGGAAAATGTTCAGAAGAAGGCAGGAATTTTTGACATGAGATTAGTGGATTCATTTTATTCGAAAAAAGGCTTTCAAATCTCTACTTTAGAAGAAAAGTCAGAACATTTTTAGAGCTTTGTGTAAGTAGTAAAAGATCGACGATCGGATGGACGGGGATTGAGAAGTGAATTCCAAAAATTTGTGCCCCTCTTTCATCTATTTGGAAAGGGTCGACACCGGGCGTAAATATTTGCCGAGCGTGCGTGACCAGAGGAAAACCACAAACAAGCACGTGAAGTGAGAAAAGTAAAAAAAAAGAGGAAACGAATTACCCACACTCAAACCGACCATCCACCACCTCTCGAAACTCTGATCAAATCAACGATTCGAGGGGTTTTATTTGAAGAAAAATTCTTTTGCGGGAAATTTCACAACTTGTAGCTAATCATCGAGAAATCGTAGCCTTTTCACCATTTCATTTTTCAAAGCGGCCGATCATCGCCACATGATTAATTCCGTGTTTACTAACAAAATCTAAACTGAATTTCCAATAAATTTTATTGACCCAAATCTCAAATCGAATACGCTATAATCACAAAGACTAGAAAAAACGAGGCTTAACCTACCTAGTTCAAAAGTCATTCACAGAAAGTACGCACATAAAACGATCGAAAAGCCTAGTAAAAATCCTACCTACATACCTGTTACTTAAAAGCTTGCTGAGATGACGGGAAGCCATGTGGAAGACGATCGGAGACCTCATTTGTTTGCAGATCGGATGGATATGGATAAGGTGACGATGATGGCCTCAACGGATCAACTTGATAAGCACCTTGTTCACCATAAGCGTTCGGTTGCCATCTAAAAATGTGTTAAACTGTATCGTGACAATGTTTAGCCATAAGTTCAAAACTAACACTGCTTGAGCTCCAGGCGTTTCTCTCATCATCTGCTCAATTTGATCGTGAACACTTCTCGACTAGTTAAAATTGAAGTAAGATGTTTCAAAATCGAAATAGCAGTCAAAATTTTAATATCCAACTCACTACGGTTCCTTTCTCTTGCGCATCAGCATTTGGTTTATTTCTGCCGTTGTGCTGATGCCGACCATCATTTCTAAAACTTGTCCTTTTCAATGCTTTAAGATATGTATAAGATCCAGTGATAAAGATCCACAAAAACCTACCCAATGTGCATGAGCGTTTGAATGAAGACCACAACCGCGAAGACTACCGTGTAGGCAAGAACGAGTTTTCGAATGAACTCCCTTCGTTCAATTGCTTTCTCATGTCGGGCTTGTTGATTTCCGTTGCTATCTAAAGATAAAGAAATCAATTGAATGCTTTTTAATCTAACCAGGTCCCCAGCTCCATTGCCATTGAAAGCCACCAGGAGGTCCATTGGGATATCTAAATTAGGACAATAGGTTTTATTACCATAGGAAATCAGCGTACCTGTTAGAAAATTCTCTCCATCTATCAGCTCGTTTCTTTGCCAATTCTTCCCATATTCGTTGCTGCGCGGATCCCCACTCTCCAGATCGATGTTCATTGGCGTGTGCTTGTCGTCGAAATTCTTCCCATATCTGAAAGCACGTACTAGGTAGCTCTGGACTCATAGGGCTAAAAAAACAAAATTTCACAATTTAGCTGAACCGATTACTGTACCAACCCACTCTTTCATATTCTGCCTGTGTGTATCGACGACCACTTCGGCCCCCTTGTGACGTGTATTGCCATTGTCCTTGAGTGGCACGACGATAAAATTCCTAAAATCAATTATAAGATCGCGCATTTTTAACAACCTGAAACGGATCCCCACTATAACCATTGTCACCAGTATATCTAGGTCCTCTGGCGCCTGTCCGAATGTTATCATAAGTTCTGAAAAATATATTAATGATTCGAAAACATCTAATAAAAAAACCTGCGTCTATTGGGATCTCTTAAAATCTCATAAGCTTCGTTGATTTCCACAAATTTCGCCTCAGTTGCCGTCCCTCCTCCAACGTCAGGATGATACTAAAATGATACGTTAAGCTACCAGAAAATTCAATAAAAACACTTATAAAATGATGAACTTACTTTTTTGGACAAGCTGTAGTAAGCGCTTTTGATTTCACGTTGTGTGGCTGTCGGAGAGACTCCAAGCACCATGTAGTAATCGCGTGTTGAGCTAAAAATGGCAAGTCATGAAAAAAGCCAATTTACGAGATATCTTGAGTCTACCTTTACAAATTAATAAATGAAAAAATCGTACCTTGTTGCAAAACTCGAGGCAATGGTGAAGCATTGTGGCTTCAATCTGGACCTTAGCGTCGAATTCACATTAAGCATTCTAGATTATTACTTTATAACAATAAAACAAAAATGTCTCAACAAAATCAACAAAGTATCACAAAAGTGATTAAAACAACTATAAATCAAAGAAACGAATAGCTCCACCCGAGCAAGCGACAATCAATTTTTGTGGCTGAACTTGAAGAAGACTGAAATCCAGGACTTGATCACCGCCACATCGCAACTCTTTCACAATGTTCCCACTTCGAGCATCGAAAATCACAATTGTCCCATCGACGGACGCAACCGCCAACAAGTACCCAATCCACAAGCATTTCACGACCGCTTGATTGGTCTCGTTTGTATGCGTAAACCTTGTATTGTGTGTATCGGTTTCATAAACAATCGTTGTTCCATCATTCCTTCCCACCGCTATCCATGAATGTTCTTTGCAAAAAGTCAGACATTCAACTGAACGTTCAGTCTCTTCAGTTTCCATGTCTTCAGCTTGAGAGGGGTCACTTGTTGCGAAAGTTTTCAACGCTCTCAGATTTGCATCCACTGTCGAATTGAGCAAATATACAGTCCCATTCGCTGTTCCGACAGCAGCCAAAGGTTGCGTTTCCGAGTGAGCAATCGAAAGAACTGCAGAATCACAAGTAATCCCGGAATTCGTCTGATTTTGCAGTTGCCACAGTTTCAGCGTCCCATCATCGTATCCGACAAGCAATCGACGGCCATCAGGCAGAAGAAGCCCGGAAGAAGTAGTGGCATTACCCGACGAATAGACTTTTTGTTGTGCGATCCCGGTTTGTGATATGAGCCACATCCACGCCGAACCATCAGAGTCCCCCACAAACAGAATGTCAGATGACTTGTGCCAGAACATCCACTCAATATCCGAGCAATCACTGATTTCACTTCGTTTCGACAAGTCACTGAGTTGAGTGATGAAGATTCGCCCCGACATGTCCCCAGTGGCAACGAGAGTTCCTGTCGAATTGAAAGCGATTGAAACGACGGAATCGTTATGTTGAATGGAAAGCACCGGATCGGTAGGAGAGGCGCTGAGGTCCCAAATATGAGCCATGTCATCTTCTCCACCGCTTCCTATCCAACGCGTTCCACTCGCTTCCACACAAAAGACGTCCTTCTCGTGAGCGTAAAGAGCCGAAGTTGAATCGTCTTCGATTATTTTTCCCTCGGATTCATCAACTCCATCATCGCCGTCCATGTTCGGTTCTTCGTGAGTCCCATTTTCGTCGTCTTCGAAAACCACATCCACGTTGTCTCCGATCTCCTCCGAATCGCTGATGTTCTCGTCCATTCTAAAGTAAAAAATGTAACGAGTAATGTATGCAACTTTATGCAACAATTTAGAACAGCTAACAATAACTTTTAGATGGATTTTTTTTCCAAAACATTTCAAAACACTTTTTAAAAGATAATCAACTTGAGTTCTAATGTATTTTTGTAAATAATCAAAGTGCAGCCAACCTTTGGAATGGACCTGTATTTTCGCAAAAATAATTTATTCAAAATTATGACGATATTAAACAAACCCGTATCAGAAAAAAAAATTACATATGGATCAACTAACATGCATTAATGATGAAGGCTTATGAAAATAAAAACCGGACACTTAAGGACAATAAAAAAGGCTAAATCAACAAGAATATACAATTTTCACAACTATCACCATTTAAGCCGCTTCTGAAATGAAGTCCGTCCAATCGGGTACACGTTTCGTTTTGTTCCAGTCATCTCGCGAGATTGATCTAAAATTTAAAATATTATAAATCCGCTGCTTTTTGATAGCTATACATTTTTAATTATGCTTAACAGGTAGATAATTTTATTTTGATGAAACAAATGCTCGTTCAAGTTCAAAAGCTCAAACTAAAGTAGAACAAAGCCCTCTAACATAAAACGCTATTTAGATAATTTTCATATACACGTAAAAAGATACCTGATTTGCAAACTATATTGACACGCAGCAAGAAGTGAACCACCAATCCAACCAAGCATAGGCTCAGCTTTGGCTTCTTTGAAGTGGAAAAATTTTGGCTCCATTCCACAAATCGTTGACTTTTTCGTAGAAATAGCAATAATCTCTTCTTTGAGCCGCGATAAAAATCCGGTGGCACGAGCAAGTCCTCCACAAACTAGAAGGGATTCAAAGAATTTTCGACGCATGTCAATCGGACATCGAAGAATCGCGTTGTGGACCATTTTTGGAATAGATGGGTCAGTGAAGTTCTCAGGATCATCCTCATCAAAGAACACTTCGAAAACCGTTTCTCGGACAAATCCGGGAACCATCACCATCAAAGCGCCAAAACGGATTCGAGCCTCAGCAGTTCGGGGTTGCAATACGACTTCGTTGCCCTTTTCTTTGATTTCGGTGGCTCTAGTTCGGGTGGTACAAAACGCGTACTGCTCGACGAATTTCTCTGCAAAATTCTCCCCATGCTGACTCCATTCTTGATCGGAAAGTTCTCGTTGTTGACCGTTTTCCTCGACTCGTGCATGAATTCGTAACAATTGAGCAGCGCGCTCGAAGACAGCACGACCGGTTCTTTGACTCAAATAACATTGACTGATCATAGTTACGTTTTCGTTGATTGGCATAGCAAGAACTTCACTGTGACCGACCTCCAGCACGAAGGCGGTCAGGATATTGAACGGAAGAGTGGCCATGAGAGGTGATGGAGCAAAAGAGACCTGTCCCACATCCAATTTCTCCATCAACGTCTGACACAGCACATTTCGAACATTCGTTGGGCAAAATGGTGATTCCACGATGAGAACCCGTCCACCTCGTAAGTCAATAGTCATAATATCGAAGAAAATCCTTTTCAGCAACGACTCCGCAATTTTCAATCCATCTTTGGTCGACAATTGATCAATGGTGGCATTAGGGCAGAGTTCCTTTGTGAGAATCGAATATCGCGGTTCAAATTCACCAGCAACGCCACATCGAATGATTCGTGAGCCGATCGAGAGCACAATCGGCGGTTTTGCCGTGTTCACGACGGCCGAAGTGAGCGAAAGAGACGAAAGAGCCACCGATTGGCGTGACATCGACGAGTCGGATCGTTGAATCCGCTCCAAATCCGAATCATTCGCCATCTTGCACGAATTTTATGGAAGTTTCGGAGCGACGAGGCGACAATCTCTAAAACTTGTTAATTTTTGAATTAAATGCAATAGAAAGCACAAAGAACGAATGAAATTTGTAGTTGCGCGTAAAGATTCAAAGAAAGAATGCAAAATTTCACAATTTTTGCTACAACGGGTCTAAGCAAGTGCGCAAAATGGAAAAAGATGGATATGCAACACTTTTACACCAAGCAATTTCATAAAAATTTAGTAAATCAAGATGTGAATATTTATAGAAAGTCGAAAAAGAACTACTGCGACTGACATATAAAAATAGCGATGTCGCAAATATTTTTTGATTGGACTTCTTATATTGATCAAGTTAGCGGCAAATAGGAATTACATTTCAATTGAATATTGTATTTTCTAAGGCTCCTGCACAAATTCTGATCAAGCCTACTTTTGAATTTTGTTATGAATTTGTCAAAGTATCAAATCTATCAAATCAAAGTATCAAAGGGTTTATGGTGCAACATTGACAATCCCATAACACAAGCAACTTTATAGTGCGATTCTTTTCCCAGTATTGACAAGAATAATTATTTATTCAGCCGTATTTTTTACCACAATGTACATTTTGGATTATCCAACATTTTTGAATTCTTTGGACAATTGAATAATTGCTCAAATTCGGGCTGATTTGAGATGACAGTATTGACGCGAATTCGATTTGGACTATGAGAATCTTCAGGCACGGAATCGAGGAGATACGAGGGACGACTAATTGCACACCAATTCTAGAATTGAACTTATAATATTCTAGCTTATTGGAGTCTTTGCCTTGATTTGATCGACTTACATATGCATAACTCATGAAGAAAATCTGCAATGGAGTGTACTTTTGTAGCTCGGGTGCTGATGACCGAGATCCACCTTGATTTGTGCGCAATAGTTTCTAAAGAAAAGTTTCACTCCAAATATTTCCAAATTTCTACTTGAAAAGCTTTTAAAGCTGCTCGAAATCCCCCATTATCAGCGATATTCTCACCAAGAGTCATGTTGCCATTCACCTGAAATGCCTTGGTGTAGTCAGTAAAAAATTTGAGTACTTTTCCAAAAAACTCACCTTTAGCGTGAGATTTTCCACTCGTTGTGACCCATATTGATCCACAAAGCATTGGGTTTTCGTTTGGAAATTTGAGAAAGTCGTCTTGTCCCACCAATTTCTCAAATTCCCGTCCATATCGTATTGTGCTCCTGTAAACGATAGCTTGCTATGAGGTTTTGCTTTTGTTTTCTAGAAATATCCTTCTTACCAGAGTTATCAAATCCGTGCGTTATCTCGTGACCGATAATCGTGCCTATAGCACCGTAGTTTTGAGCTCTGAAATTTGCTTTAGTCTTCGTCTAGCTTTAAGTTCGCAAACATGGATTGAGTAGCATTGAAAAAGGGAGATTGAAGGATTCCCACAGGAATGGCTGAAAAAAGAATTCAAGATATTATAAAATATTCAGTAGTATCGCTAAAGAAGAAAACTATGACTATTTCTTTTGATAGACTTTTCAAATTCAATAAATTCAATAAAATTCAAGAATTTCTCTCTCACCAATCGTATTCTGAGTCGACAAATAATAAGCATTCACATTACTCGCTAGAAATTCAAAATCCCCAAGTACATTCTTTTCAAATAAAGTTTGATAAGCATTGTCAGCCAGCCATTTCCCAACTCTCACATCAACTTCCCAACTTGAGAGATTTTGTGGGATATCCAGCTGAAATTATTATATCTATTTGTCAAGTCATTTTATCTACCGTTGAATATTTTATTGAAATCGCTGTCTGATTGAAAATGTCAGGATTATAGCCGACAAATTGACGCATTGCTAAGGCCTGAAATGGAATTTGTTTCATTCTTGATTGCATTCTTGATTTCTTTCTTGATCTCTTTCTTGATTCCTTTCTTGATCTCTTTCTTTTCCAAACCTTTTCCCTTGCTTGTTCTTTTGTCTTTTCATCAATCCATGTCTCCTCAGAAAGCATTTCCAAAAATGATTCTTTCAGCTTTTCCACCATCATCTCCACCTCATCTTTGCTTTATTGAGGGAAATAGCTAAACAAGACGGGGTATATTCGGACAGAACTATAAACACTCACTGTTCAATGTACATAGCACTAGCAATATCAGAGAAAAAAGTTGTCGGTGTCTGGATGCAAGTGATCAAATCGTACAGCTCCATTATGTCGTCTTCAAATTGACGAGTCCCGTCAGTTGATGATTTATAGTCCTGTAGAAAATGGATAACATAATTCTAAAACAAGTGCACAATAAAGACTCACATTGTATATTTTCATCGCATTAGTGTTAAGTCCACCGCTAAGAATGACTTCGACGATGAACTACGTGTCTAACGAAATGTGTCTGTGTTTATAAGTATGAGCGTTTTCTAAAAGGTGAATAATTTGGAAAGTCACCGTAATCTTTCCTCTAGACTTTGATTCTCATAGAGCTGCCATTTCTTTTGTTTTTTTTTATTATTTGATATACTTTGTTCAAATCTGGAATCATACCTTATAATCTAAATAATCGGAAACCGCCTGTGGATTGCTTTTTCTCAACAAATCATCAATCGCTTTCACTGCTTTGATATTCAACACTTGCACAACAGTCTGAACAAAGGAACTTGATTTAGACTTCTTTTTTAGTAAATAATCAGTAAGAATCATCCACCTTGTTAAATTCTTTTCTCTCCACGATATTCATCGGTAAAACCGTATTCCAGTAACGCTGATAGTCGATCTAAAATAAAAAATTTCTATGGTTATGCAAAAGCTTTATTACTTGATTTATGAGACTGGACAATTGATCCAAGGCTATGTTTTGATAGGTGACGTTTGGAAGGGGAAGGTCGGAAACTGAAACATTGTGGGGAAAGTGTCGGAATCTGATAATTCATTGTAAGGATTGATTTGTCACAAGTCTATCAGTGCCTTTAAAAATTTTTTATCTAAAAAACCTGTGCGATTTGTCGATCGATTTTCAAAATATTCTTTACTCGACGATTCACTTCGGTTGAATTATTTGCAAAAACCTCGTGCTAAGAAATATAGGAGATTTTGTTTTGCAATGAAATCTTACATTTCGATCATCGTTTGCCAATAAAGTGTGAATGTTTTTGAGAAAAGTGACAAAAGCTTTATATTGATTTCGATACTCAGCTGATGTGTACTCCATTAAACTCATTATAGGATCGAAAGGTTGGAGCTGAAAAGGTTCAGTTTATGGGTATCCAATTGGCTGCTCTTTATAATTCAAAGAACATTTGATCATTGGAAAATTTTCAACTAATGTATTTTCTAAAATGTGTCAACTACCGTAATCTTGTCTGTCTGCCTGTCTTTTGTCTGTCTATCTGTCTGTCTTTTGTCTGTCTGTCTGTCCGCCTGTCTGCCTGTCTTTTGTTTGTCTGTCTGTCTATCTGTCTGTCGGTCTGTCTGCCTGTCTTTTGTCTGTCTGTCTGCCTGTCTGCCTGTCTGTCTGTCTATCTGTCTGTCGGTCTGTATGCCTGTCTGCCTGTCTGTCTGCCTGGCTTTTGTCTGTCTTTTGTCTATCTGTCTGTCTTTTGTCTGTCTCACCACCAAAATGTTATTCGTTGAATTATAATCATCGGGTATCACTCCAAGATCGATAAAATAAGCTGTCGGATAGTCATTGATCATCAAATCTGTTATCGAATCTCCATTCTTTCGTAATTTTCTGAAATCTTTAAACTTTTGTCTTCCCATTCTTTCTACCGTCTTTCATTGAAAAACAGAGAGTTTCGATGAATTCTGGTGGAATTTTTGTTCGTACAACTCGCGAAATATTTCAACATCAACATCCGCTCTCGGTTATTTCGAAAAAGCTCTTCTTTTTCGAAGAGTGCTGAATAGCTTTTAGATCTAATATTTGTAAATAACATACATATAAACTGAATGATAACATCAGATCGAAGATTTTGCATCTGACTCACAGCAACATCATATTCTGAGATCGGGTGCTCTTTCATCCAACCAAAGCACACAAATCTACAATTTAAATAACTGTTTAAGCTATAAATATAAATATAAAGAATATAAATGATTGTAAAGATTGCTATAAAGCGGTAAGCTTTAAACTCACTGATAGAAATCATCGCATTGATGAAGAGTTGGATCGATCGATCGAGCCATTCCACTATCGCTTACATAACTTTTCGAGGCGAGGTTTATCGTTGTGGCTAGAAATCTTAGTGTTATCTTAGTGTTATCTTAGCGAAATGCTAATTTATAATATTTGAAAGGTTAGCATCGTTTTCCTACATTTAAATTGTAGATTTGTGTGCTCTGGTTGGATGAAAGAGCACCCGATCTCAGAATATGATGTTGCTGAGAGTCAGATGCAAATTCAGCCATTTCCTCTCACTCACTTGGTTGAATATAATTCGGATTTTTGTCCATTCCAAGGCTGAAATCTTGATCGCCGATTGCTTGCCGAATCGAGTCGAATTTCATCGAAATTCTTTGAGTTTTAGAAAATCTAGTTTATCTAATGTTTTACTACAAAAATTTCTTTTTACAAACTTTGCTTTCGGCTGTAATTTTGGCATTGCATCACTCAAATAACAAGCACAAAAGAGAAACACACCAAAAAAATACATTAGAGAATTTTTTTTAAAATAAAAGTTTTCTTTAGCAAAAATTTCAAGAAACTATTCGATTGAATACCTTTTTAAAACGATTTTTAGAATATATACCTGATGACTGACAACAAAAATGACCAAAGGATTAAAAAATCAGTTGTCCGCAAAAAAACCAGTGTCGAATTTTTTGAAAGCTTTTGAGAAAATCTAAAAAATAAACATTTCCAACAAGTTTTTTTACTTTAAAGATTTTCAATAAACTTTACTTGATCCGGATTTTTCACGAATTTTATGCTTTTTCAATGTCTACAAAAACCCAAACTTTAGACAATTTTTATGAAATTCGGCAAAACAAAGTGTTTGGGATTTGGAGAAGTTTGTGTAAACAAAACGGTTACTCTAACTGTAACAGTTACTCTAACTGTAACAGTTAGAGTAACTGTTACAGTTAGAGTAACAGTTACTCTAACTTTAACAGTTACTGTAAAAGTTACTCTAATTGTAACAGTTGCTCTAACTGTAACAGTTGCTCTAATTTTAACAGTTACTCGAACTTTAACAGTTACTCGAACTTTAACAGTTACTGTAACCGTTTTGTTTACACAAACTTCTCCAAACTTGTTACAGTTACTGTTACAATTACTGTAACTCGTGATTCTTGTTGTGAACTTATTGTTATACTGAACTTTTTCTGATAATAATAAATATTTATTCATGTCTATTCTTTATTTATATTCTTTATTTACCACAATGTACATTTTGGATTATCCAACATTTTTGAATTCTTTGGACAATTGAATAATTGCTCAAATTCGGGCTGATTTGAGATGACAGTATTGACGCGAATTCGATTTGGACTATGAGAATCTTCAGGCACGGAATCGAGGAGATACGAGGGACGACTAATTGCACACCAATTCTAGAATTGAACTTATAATATTCTAGCTTTTTGAAGTGTTTGCCTTGATTTGATCGACTTACATATGCATAACTCATGAAGAAAATCTGCAATGGAGTGTACTTTTGTAGCTCGGGTGCTGATGGCCGAGATCCGCCTTGATTTGTGCGCAATAGTTTCTAAAGAAAAGCTTTCACTCCAAATATTTCCAAATTTCTACTTGAAAAGCTTTCAAAGCTGCTCGAAATCCTCCATTATCAGCGATATTCTCACCAAGAGTTTTGTAACCGTCTACCTAAAAATCATTTGTGTACAATGATGTACAATGTGTACAATTAAGCTTAAACCTACTCGTAACGTGAGATTTTCCACTTTTTGTACTCCGTATTCTCCCACAAAGCATTGGGTTTTCGTTTGGAAATTTGAGAAAGTCGCCTTGTTCCACCAATTTCTTTTGTTGCCATTCGCGTCGAATTGTGAGCCTGGAAAGGAGTGTTTCTACTTTCTTGAGGAGCATCTCAATACCTTATGAACTTCAAAAAAGTCAAATCTGGGCCCGGTTTCACCACCGATTTATGAAAGTTTCATAACTCGAGGTGTCATAGCCGAATCCTCGGATCCCCGATCCCTAGAGTACGCACACGGCTCGGGGGTCCGACTGTCCGTGGTTCGACCTCATTTGACTAACTAACGCATAAGACCTCCCCGCAAGATTACAGCAGGTCCTTCACTCCCCTTCACTTCAAGTGAGTCGGCACTTGCCACTGGCAAGCCAGCCACCTCACCTCAGAAGCTTTATAGAGGTCGGCATGCCAAGGCAGAATCATTTGAAATGAAAAAATAGCGTGACTTAATTTGGATAGAACCATTATTTTGCATATTGCCATGATTAATTTCGTTTTTTTACAGCATGATTTTAGACATACCATCTTCTTCATTACGACACTGTCATAGCGAATTTAAGTGGTGTGAAACCGGGCCCAGGCTTGACTTCTGACTGGCCTGGATAGCTGGCTCAAATAGTTTTCGAGCCAAGCTATTCTCAAGATAAACCAAGCTATTCGCAGGTGAGCCAATTTCTCGCACTTACCATAATCATCAAATCCGTGTGTTATTTCGTGACCGATAATTGTGCCTATTCCACCGAAATTCTGAGATCTAAAATCTTTTATTTTTTGAAACATTTCCTCGTCTAAACCTGGATTGAGTAGCATTGAAATAAGGAGATTGAAGAATGCCGGCAAGAATGGCTAAAGAGAGAAGCTTTACAGATACAGCAGATAAGCTAGATTGCTACGATATCGGCTTATACCGAGTGACTTCAATCTCACCCACCAATCGTATTCTGACTCGGCAAATAATAAGCATTCACATCACTCGCTAGAAATTCAAAATCCCCAAGTACATTCTTTTCAAATAAAGTTTGATAAGCATTGTCAGCCAGCCATTTCCCAACTCTCACATCAACTTCCCAACTTGAGAGATTTTGTGGGATATCCAGCTGAAATTATTACATCTATCTGTCAAGACATTTTATCTACCGTTGAATATTTTATTGAAATCGCTGTTTGATTGAAAATATCAGGGTTATAGCCGACAAATTGACGCATTGCTAAGGCCTGAAATGGAATTTGTTTCATTCTTGATTCCTTTCTTGATCTCTTTCTTTATTCCTTTCTTTATTCCTTTCTTGATTCCTTTCTTGATCTCTTTCTTTTCCAAACCTTTTCCCTTGCTTGTTCTTTTGTCTTTTCATCAATCCATGTCTCTTCAGAAAGCATTTCCAAAAATGATTCTTTCAACTTTTCCACCATCATCTCCACCTCATCTTTGCTTTGTTGAGGGAAATAGCTAAACAAGACTGGGTATATTCCAAACAGAACTATAAACACTCACTGTTCAATGTACATAGCACTAGCAATATCAGAGAAAATAGTTGTCGCTGTCTGAATACAAGTGATCAAATTGACAGCTTCTGATTGACTGCTATCTCTTTGACGAATTCCAAAAACCGATGACTCGTAGTCCTGTTTTTGAAATTTAAAGAGAAAATGTATTAAATTCACTTTATAGAGTTTCATTGCTCGGTCATCAAGCCCGGAAATCACCTCGGAGATCAACTTAAATGGATAGATTAGTATGGAATAGATTAGATCTAGATTCGATCTACCTGATAATCTAGATAATCAGAAATCGCTTGTGAATCGACTCTCTTCAACACTTCATTGATTTGCCTCACCGCTCCATCATTCATCACTTGTACGAGAGTCTAAACAAATTTAGCTCTAATTTCTACAATCAAATAGTTTTTTTAATCAAAGTCTGATAAGGCTAGAGTCAGAACTATAAAGCTGGCTTCTGGACTTGCAAAAGCTTGACTTAGATCCTTAGAACAACACTTCTAACTCCTCCAATGATTCTGAACAACACTTCTAACTCCTCCAATGATTCTGATCAACACTCCTAACTCATCCAATGATTCTGAACAACACTCCTGACTCATCCAATGATTCTGATCAACACTTCTAAATCATCAAATGATTGAACTCTTTTCCTCACTTTATTGAAATCTTTTTTGCTTTACAATATTCGTTGGCAAAACTGTATTCCAATAACGAAGATAGTCAATCTGAAAAAAAGACTTTTAAACATTAACAATTGATTTAGAATCACCTGATTTATGAAACTCGACAATTGATTCAAAGGCAAATTTCGATTTGTAGTGTTTGGTGGTGAAAAAGAGTTCAAAATCTTCAAAATCTTTTGTAAATCGAAATCTTTCAATAAACCTGTGCAATTTGGCGATCAATTCTCAGAATATTCCCCACTCGACGATCCACTTCGGTTGAATTGTTCGCAAAAACTTCATGCTGAAAAAGATTGCAATCAATTTTCTTGCAATTCTACAATTCTTACATTCAAATCATCATTCGCCAACAAAGTGTGAATCTTTTTGAGAAATTTGACACTTATTTCATATTGATTTCGATATTCAATTGCTGTGTATTCCATCCAACTCAATAAAGAAGAGCTTGGTTTAATCTAAAAGGAATCAGAGATTAGAAGAGGTTTAATTAAAAGTCGTATTTGATTGCCGCCTTTCTTAAAGCTAACAAATATAAGCCGAGTTCAAAGTTTGTAAACAGTTTTAACTAGGTTTTAGTTCAATAAGGTTCAACTCAATAAAGAAGAGCTTGGTTTGATCTTAAAAGGAATCAGAGATTAGAAGAAGTTTAATTAAAAGTCGTATTCGATTACCGCCTTTCTTAAAGCTAACAAAGCTAAGCCGAATTCAATTTGTAAACAGTTTTAACTAGGTTTTCGTATAATAAGGTTCAACTCAATTCAACTCAATCCATCCAACTCAATAAAGAAGAGCTTGGTTTCATCTGAAAGGAATCAGAGATTTGAAGAAGTTTAATTAAAAATCGTATTCGATTACCGCCTTTCTTACCAAATATAAGCCGAGTTCAAACCAAGTTTGTAAACAGTTTTAACTAGGTTTTAGTTCAATAAGCTTCAATAATAATAACTCAATTATCACGAGCATCAATCATGTGAGAATTGTTTACCATTTACCGTTTACTTTTTACCGTTTACTGTTTACTTTTTACCGTTTACCATTTACCGTTTACTGTTTACCAAAAACTCTTCATTTAGCTTCATTTAGCTTTATTGCTTAGAGTCAAAGCTTAAACTTCTAAAGAATTCGCTCCTTATTTCTTCAATCTTACCACCAAAATGTTATTCGTTGAATTATAATCATCGGGTATCACTCCAAGATCGATAAAATAAGCTGTCGGATAGTCATTGATCATCAAATCTGTTATCGAATCTCCATTCTTTCGCAATTTTCTATAAATTATTCTTTAACTATAATTCTTTAACTATAATTCTTTAACGATAATTCATTAACTATAATTCATTAACTAAAATTCATTAAGTAAAATTATTTAACTATTATTCTTTAACCATAATTCTTTAACTATAATTCCTTAACTATAATTCTTTAACGATAATTCATTAACTAAAATTCTTTAACTATATTTCTTTAACTATAATTCCTTAATTATAATTCTTTAACTATAATTCTTTAACTATAATTCCTTAACTATAATTCTTTAACTATTATTCTTTAACTATAATTCTTTAACTATAATTCTTTAACTATAATTCTTTAACTATTATTCTTTAACTATAATTCTTTAACTATTATTCTTTAACTATTATTCTTTAACTATAATTCTTTAACTATTATTCTTTAACTATTATTCTTCAACTATTATTTTTCAAATATTCCCAACCTTCTTTCACTAAAGAACAGTGATGTACCAATGTTTTTTGTCGAGTTTTTATTCGCACAATTCCCCACATAATTTAACATCAACAAGCGCTCTCGATTGTTTCGAAAAATTGAAGCTTTTGAGAAAAGTACTGGAATTTTTGTTTTATTTGGGTTATTTTGGTGATTATTTTGGAATTCTTTCATCAAAAACCCTTACAAATATATTGAATAAGAACTTGAGCATCAACTTGTGCATTCTGCGTCTCGGTGACATCATAATCGGAGAGCGGATTCTCTTTAATCCATCCAGAGCACACGTATCTACAACAGTAAATATCAGAAACATCAAATTCGTACGCTACAGTACGCTACAGTACGCTACACTACTTTTAAGTGAAATAATGATTTGTCTAATTGTAAGGCATCATATTGAAATCTTTAAACACACTCATAGAAATCATCGCATGGATGAAGAGTTGGATCGATTGATCGAGCCATTCCACCATCGCTTACATAACTTTTTGTGGCGAGTTTTGTGATTGTGCCTGGAAATCTTCTCATCTTATTATATGCAAATTTATGCTATTCAAAATCTTTAGCATTCAAAATCTTTAGCACAAAATCTTTAGCATTCAAAATCAAAATCTTTAGCAAAATCTTTAGCACCAATTTCCACTCACCCGGCTTAATAAAATCTCCGTTTTTGCCCAAATCAAAACTGAAACTTTGATTGCCGATTGCTTGAAGAATTACGTCAAATTTCGTCGAAATTCTTTGAGGTCTGAAAAATTTCTTTTAGAAATTTGAATTTTTCGTTGAAAAGTACCAGCAGAACAGCCAACCTAACGGTGGGCTACTTCAGCAATGATTGCCGTCGTAAAAATGATTGCCAGATTGCCAGAAACGAATTCCCTGTGTTGGAAAAGCCGCTATGCAAAATTTCAGAGTAAAATAACAATTGCAACGATGGCGGAGTGAATAGCGCGCTCGCCTCACGCTTCGCATGACCCGGGTTCGACCCCGACCAGTCACCACCTACTTTGCGTTTTTGCAAAAAAATTTTGAAAAGGCACAACTACATGAAATTTCATTAGACACGTGTTTCAGGGCTTTTTAAAATACTCAAAGGGGACGCTCGTAGTGCGCGCACAGACAGACAGATTATTTTTTTATTTATACCGTATTTTCTCTAATAGTAGTGCACCCCGGCGAGCCGAGTTGATGATTATTTTACGGTTTCCAATTTTTCCCAGAAGCTCAACACTCAAATCCCTCACTAGATCTCATCGTCAGCTACATTTTCCGACCCCACATCGATCGGTTCTGATAAGCGCTTTTCGAGATTTCGAGCAATTTAGGCGACGCTCTGGGTGCACTATTGGGAAAATGCGATAACAGCTTGCGTTACCATAAATCAAATCTGGATTGTTGGCCGGGATCCAGGCTATAGGCTTTCCAAGCTTTCACAGAAGCTCAACACTCAAATCCCCCACTAGATCTCATCGTCACCTACATTTTCCGACCCCACATCGATCGGTTCTGATAAGCGCTTTTCGAGATTTCGAGGAATTTAGTCGACGCTCAGGGTGCACTACTATTAGAGAAAATACGGTATTAGAGAAACGATTTGTTCGTTTAAAAGTAAACTATTAAAAATTCGTCACAAAAAAAAACCTCGTTTTTGGTCGAAATTTCGTCAATGCATTGACACTCAAATAACAGGCGTTTACAAAGAGAAACACATCGAGAAACCGCATTTAGCAAAGGGAAATTTGATCAGATTTCCTTTCGACTAAAATAGAAGATTCGAATATGTAGATATGATAATAAAATAGTTAAAAAAAAACGAAAGTGAAACACTGAAATTTGATTTGTTTCACCTTGAGAAGATTATTGCCAAAAAAGAATAATTCCCTGAAAAGAAAATTGGCCTCAAAAGAGTTTCATCAAAATTGTCACCAAATATAAGTTTAATATAAGATTAATATAAGATTACAGTAAAAATATACTGTACTTAGATTTGAGAAAAGTTTCGGAGAACAAAGTTACTCTTGAATAGAGTGTGTTCCTAGCGGATAATGCGTTTTCTAAAATGCACCTATTTGAGAAAGCTATCGTAGTCAAACCGTTGGTTTAGATGCAATTAGTCCGATTTTGGTATCATTGATTGAGCCTTGTAATTCCTCATCGAATGGTACCAAAATCGGAGTGCCTAAAGTGTCCCCCTATTTTTTTTCATATCAAATCACAACTTTTTGCTCTCCAAAAGCTCTCCAAAGCAAAAGTTGTGATTTGATATGAAAAAAAATAGGGGGATACTAGGGGCACTTTAGGGGGACAAAAAGGGGACACTTTGAGGGGGACACTTAGGGGGGCAAAAGGGGGACACAGGGAGGGGGGGACACTCGAAATGTATAATAGGAACACACTCTACTCTTGAATTTTAACCATTTTTGTAAAAAACCAATTTATGTAAAAAAAAACACAATTTCATCGAGTTGGACTCTCGAAAAAAAGTCCCAATAAACTTTACTTGATCCGATTTTTTCTCACTTCTCTTTTCGTTTTTGTGTTTAGACCCCGGGAGTGTGTCTGTTTGCGCAAAAATGCCTCGTCCATCGCTCTCGAACGTTTCTTATTTCTCCCCTTCTCGGCAGATCGTTCTTTTTTTTTGCTGGGAATGAGTAATAGAATTGAATTTTGAAACTAACCAAATCTGATTAGAAAAGAAATAAAAAACTTACTTAAGATCATTTTCAAATCGACTCGTTTTTAAAGTTTTAAAGCTCTATAAAGGCCAGAATTACAGCTACACCTTTTTAGCAGATTGTATCCCAAACCTCGCAATCAATTCAAAAACCCTAAGTATTATATAGAGAATTGAAGCCTGAATTCTTGCCTACATTTGTGTACAAAAAGATCTTTGATTGGAGATTTGCAGCCAATTTTTCAGACACCCAAATGAGCCCAATCCGGCCAGTCTCCGGCAGGCTTCCATTTTTTGCTGTTTTCTAACTAACTCCAATTAAAGATCTTTTAGTACAAAGTAAAGAAAATAGAGAAAAAATTTATATAGAGAATTGAAGCCTGAATTCTTGCCTACATTTCTGTACTTTGTACTAAAAGATCTTTAATTGGAGTTAGTTAGAAAACAGCGAAAAATGGAAGCCTTCCGGAGACTGGTCGGATTGGGCTCATTTGAGTGTCTGAAAAATTGGCTGCAAATCTCCAATCAAAGATCTTTTTGTACACAAATGTAGGCAAGAATTCAGGCTTCAATTCTCTATATAACACTTAGGGTTTTTGAATTGATTGCGAGGTCTGGGATGCTGAAAAGGTCTGCTGTAATCTGCTGAAAAGGTGTAGCTATAATTCTAAGCCATCCTGTAAAAATTATGTGAAAGGAAAATGGAATCAAAATCTCACAAGTTTCTACAAGTCTGCCTTGCGATGAACTTTTTAAAGCAATGACTCGTTGATGAAATTCCAAAAAAAGCAAATCACTGAGTCAATCTTCTCAAAATAACCCACCTACTCAAAAAAATTAGCATAATCGGATTCCCGTTTTGGTGAATTGTTTTTGTATTTATGGAAGTTGAAAAAGTTTGAAAAAATGTGGATTAATTTTAACTGGTTTAATTACCCAAGTTTGAGGCCTCGATTCGACACGGATATCAACGTATGCTACGCCCTCCTCACTGATACGATGCACAAATTGCTGATTGAACACATTCCGCTCTCGACCAAAGATTACCCCCTTTCAAAGCTTTCATAACCGCCAACTGTATCATTCTTTTGCTTGTCGTGTTCCTCGTATTTGGAATAAGTTACCTTGTGATATTTTTTCGTCTCTGAACTATTTTAAATCCTCAATATATAAGCTCGATCTTGTAGCTCTGTCAATTTTAAATTAGTTTTTAATGTCATATATACACGTGTCTAATTGTAGTTGTGTTTGTATATCAATTATCTTTCTTCGTCTACGCTGTTCAATCTGTTTGCATTGTCACTTTTCCTTGTCGGATAAAGTATATATACGTTAAAAATATACGGATTAAAGAAATTCACATACGGTAGGAATTTGTTTTTAAAAACTCTAGAAAAAAATGGTAACTGTTTTTAGAAGTTATTTTTGAAAAACTTTTAAACACATCCAAATTTGCTAACCTTTCTTGATGTGCGGAGAAAAAAAAAGCAATTTTTCCTCCATTTCTCCTCTTTTACAATCAATCACCCGATTACTCATAAAAACAAGAGTTTTTTAAGTTAGGTAATGTTGATCATGGATTCAAGTTTTTGTTTTGATTTCAAGCTTCAAGTTTGAATTGAAGCTCCAAGAACGATGTCTATGCGAGCAAGAAACAGGGAACAAAATTGTCGTATTACTGTGGTATTACTGTTGATCATTTGTCTGGGAAATTTATGACCATTATCGTTGATATATTGGATTGGTGAATTGAAAACTGCCGGCTATTGTCATATGTGACAGTTTGAGCACTTTCTTCAAAAGAAACCATTTTGGTGTCAATGGAAAAGTTGTAGAGAATCAACAAAGAGGCTTATAGCCAAATTTCCAAAAAGATACACTTAGTAGTTTCGCTTAAAATGCAAGTTTTGTGAAAATTCGTAAATTTGGCATTTCTTGTGGCGATTTCCATTATTATTGACGACTTCTGCCCATTTTACAGGCAATTTGCGGATTCCCTTCGTAGTAGGATTTTCTTTCGTAGTAGAATTTTGGTTTGTGTGTGAGACAAGTGTGAGACTCAAAAATGGAGGACTGGAGACGTCCCAGTTTGAGCACTTTCAGGAAAAGTTGTAGAGAATCAAAAATCAAGCTTATATCCAAATTTTCGGAAATATTCAAAAACTGGTTTTCAAGAAATGCCAAATTTACGAATTTTCACAAAACTTGCATTTCACAAAACATTTTAAGCGAAACTACTAAGTGTATCTTTTTGGAAATTTGGCTATAAGCCTCATTTTTGATTCTCTACAACTTTTCTATTGACACCAAAATGGGTTTCTTTTGAAGAAAGTGCTCAAACTAGGACATCTCCAGTCCTCCATCTTTGAGTCTCACACTTGTCTCACACACAAACCAAAATCCAACTACGAAAGAGGAATCCGCAAATTGCCTGTAAAATGGGCAGAAGTCGTCAATAATAATGGAAATTATTTGGAATGAATTTATGGTTTTATGTTGAATAAATTTTAATTCAAAGTCCCGCATTTTTCCCAAAAAATGTGGATTAATTTTAACTGGTTTAATTACCCAAGTTTGAGGCCTCGATTCGACACGGATATCAACGTATGCTACGCCCTCCTCACTGATACGATGCACAAATTGCATTTTTCCCAACCCAATAGTTAAAAATTGAGCCGGATCGAACCTATGGCATAGCTGAATTTCAAAGATATTCAATTCAGTGAAATGTTCACATCGTTTTCTCGGGATCTCCATTCGATAGTAGGAAATGTCCTATTCTTCACATTGTCCCGAATTCATTAATGATTTGGAATCAATTTATGGTTTTATGTTCAATAAATTTTAGTTCAAAGTCCAATTCACCAACCCAATAGATTTCACAAAGCCAAAGACTTTAACTATTCAAGCCAAGTTAAAAAATCGTTTTGTCTTGAATTAATCTGCGGTATATCCAGGCCTAAAAACTCTATAAAGCGAAGACTTATTCACTATTCACTTAAAAGCTATATAAAGTGAAACTTCGTTAATTGTAAGGAGTTGGCTTGAAACTAACTTGTTTACTTGACGAGAAAATAAACAAGAACAATTCAATGATAACTTTCACAACACACAAGAACTTACTTTTACAACACTTTTACTTTTACAACAAGAACTTACTTTCATCCGACTTAATTATTTCAATAACTTTGATTATTTCATTTGATATCTAGCATTCCCTCAAAATCTTTTACTATTCCCCAAACGAGCACTCGTAAACTCCGATGTGAAATGGGCATTCTTATCACTAGAAAAGGGAAAGAATCAAAGATATTCAGTCAACAAGCCAAAGAAAGGCCAAAAGGAAACGGCACGCCCTTCGGAATCTCGATCGATTCATTCTCAATACTTTTTGCTTTTTCTTTTCTTTGTTTAACTGGTTATTAGGCTTTATTGATAACAATTTGAAATGATTCACTCTTACTTACTCTAAATTTTTGCATTTATTTTTGCATTTTGTTATTCGAAGCTTTGAAAAGCTTATCAGTATCAAAAATTACAAAAATTCAAAAAAAAACTGTTTTAGGAGTAGGAAAATTGAAAGCTTTTTAATAAATTATCATTTTAAACTCTGTAGAAATTAAATATTTAAAGGTTTTTTTTGGCTCATACTGTAAATTCCCATCTTTCTGTTCATTTTATGAATTTCTATGAATTTCGATGAATTCTATCCATAAACTGGCTTTAATCAATCAACCTTTCAATGAACCTTTCCCCTTAATACCCCCTCCCCATCCCTTCACCAACATGCGTTCGTGGTGTAATGGTTAGCATGGATGCCTTCCAAGCATTCGACGGGGGTTCGATTCCCCCCGAACGCAAATCCTTTTTTTGTTTGAAGTTTAAACTGAATTTTTCAAATGAATTTTATTGGTCATATCACCCTATTTCATCAACGCTTTTTTAAAGACCAAACTCACCCTAAAAAGGCGTTAAATCGAGGGAAAGAATGCGGCTTACGTGTGCCCTGTGCAAACGCCTTTTATCAATCCATGCTCATTTTGGGGTCTTTGAGGGGGAAAAAGAGGGAATCAATAGATATTTTCTACGTTGATTCATCAGGTTTAGAATTTCATTTCTTTCAGTAATTTAGCCAATTCAGTAAAATGAAGTAAAAGCTTTTTAAGCTTTTTAAGCGTTCCCGTTTTTCTATCGAGTTTATTTAACAAAATTTTGCTGAAATCAGAAAATTACATAAGATTTGTATTGTTTTAAGTTTTTACTTGTTTATTATTAATTGGCTTTAAAGGTAAAAACTTTTGCAAACAACTGGGGAAGGGGAAAAGGAAAGGCGTTTAACGAGAAGAATTGCAGATGGGAAGTCGGCGAAGGTGAAAGATTCATTCATGAGATTATATATAATTATTTATTTGCAAACATAAATCGGATCTATCTAAGCATGCATTCAGGTATTTACTCGAAAAATCCTTTTACACTCTTTTCCAGATCATCGATCTACCCGTTGAGCGACGTGGATTTGGCCGCCGAGTCGCTCAGCTCAACCCATTCAGCCCGGAGGTTCGTTTAAGGGAATTCGATCATTTATTTAGCTTTTATTTGATTTGATTTGATTTGATTTGATTTTATTTGAGATTTCTAGAGAATTAGAGACGATTTAGTTAGGTAAACACTCTTGCCTTTAAATCAATCAATCAATCAATCAATCAATCAATCACCCAACTTTCCAGAGATGATCCAATTCTGCCCACTTTTTCCCCATTGGATCTTTTCACATGGGCCTCTTTTGAGGTGACGATGATCGTGTGTCAATTTGCCGGATTTGCACATATTTTCCTCGTTTGTAAGTGAAATTTTATGAATATTTATGCAAAATTGAACAAATTCCCATTGAAATGGCTCTTTACACTGGTCTCCAAGTATAAAATGAGATTTGAAGCCATCTCGCTCAGATGCGTTCGTGGTGTAATGGTTAGCATGGATGCCTTCCAAGCATTCGACGGGGGTTCGATTCCCCCGCGAACGCAAATCGTTTTTGTTTTTTAGAGTTTTAAAGGTCTAGAAAGATTAAAGTATCATAGTGATGGCTCTGGTTTGGTGTAGTCGCTAAATTTTCGCTTAAATCAATAATTAGGACAATACCACTGACTCTTTCTCGGTTTTTCAGCTCATTTCTATGGTCGGATAGTTGGCGGAATCAAATACGATGAAACGCCGAATTATCATGGCTTATTTATGACCTATGGGCTTGTGTTTTTTAATGGAGAGGGTAAGAAAAGCGGCCGTTTAAAAATCACTCTCAATTCAGCTATTTTGGCGTATCGTTTTATGAGAAATGAGGCAAAAATCCTATCGAAACTCGTCCATGCGACTTGTCACACTTTAGCGATCTCTTTTTTCTCAGCAGCTCTCGCACAAATTATTCACGTAAATGTTCAATTTAAAAACTCTCAAAAATTTGGTAAATCTTTCAGCAAAAGACCCTAGGCGGTAATCAACATGTGTACACATTTCACAGTTGGTTCGGAATCGCCATCATGGCCGCCTATATCATTCAGGTGGGAGAAAAAAAGAAAGATAAATCTTTAATGAGAAAAATGATTTCAATGAAATCCTTTTGGATTGAATGAAATCTTTCAATGACTAGCTTGTTTTTAATTTCAAGGACTCAATGACTAGCTTGTTTTCAATTTCAATGACTGTTTCAATGACTGTTTCAATTTCAATGACTCAATGACTAGCTTCAGTTCCTGTTCGGTCTTTTCAACTACGGACTCCCTGGTGTTCCGATCGAGGTTCGACAAGCTCTAATGCCATATCATCGCACTGTTGGTCTAGCTTTGTTTGGATGTTCAGTAGCTCAGGTAGAATAAGAATAAGAACAAGAAAATAAACAAAATGATTCAGGTTTTGCTTGGTCACTTCAGTTTTCTCTATTTGTATCGACCGCCATTGTAAGTTTTGTTTTATCATCAAATTTAAACAAGTCATGAATACATTTTAAAGAAACAGAAATTGTACAGTAGATTGGTAAGTAGTGTAGAGATTATATACTATATAAAAAAGTGTCTATCATTTCGATTTATTGTCTATTTATCATCGAAAAAGTGACTGTCTGTCTGTCTGTACGGGCATTTTCTCGGCTATGTCTTATCAATAAATAAAGACAATAAAGCTACCAATAAAGCGGCCAATAAAGCTAAAACTTCTGTAGAAAACCTTAGAATATATTGTAGTTATGTTATTTAATCTAAAAAATGAAAAAAAGTCAAGGCTGAGTGGCACTACGGGGGTCGAACCCGGGTTGTGTGTGGCCAGAGGCAAGCGTTCTTCGACTGCGCCACAGAAGCGAGCGTGCTGGGCCAGAAAAACCCGCTGTTAACTGGGGTTTTCGACTGGTTTAGACATAAAAGAGATTAGAGGTACGGTTAGAAATGAAGGCCCTCGTTGTTAAATCACTTCTCAGACTCAGACTCAGAAAATTCTAAATCAACAATTCCAGAGTGATGTCCTGTTATGCTTTCCTCGATTGTGACACCCATTTCGATTTAATCTTCAATTTTTCCCTTCTCACTCTCGTTGTTTATGCTTTATTGGTGATGGTTTTGGTGACAAAAGACAGTTGGAAACGAGAGAAAACACCAGAAGAACTGGGTTTGATCGATTAAAGACCTCAAATTTCTTTTTTCATTCATTTTGTACTGCCTTTTATTGCCTTTCAAAGCTTTAAATTATGTCTATCTTTAATTTCTCGGCTTTACTGTTAGCTGTTTATTGCTCAGAGATCAATTTAATCTGTTTTCATTGACAACCACACTCTTGAACAATCATATCTTGGTATCGTTTAAGGACAACATTCTCCGAATTATCAATGAAAATGATTTTTTGTTGAGAGAGTTTTGACGGAGCACAACGCGGTGATGGAGCACGTTGTGGATGTAAGAGATGGACGAGGGTTTGCACTGGAAATTCGTGTTCTTGTTTAAAAATCAGCACAAAGCTGTTACTAATTGGTTTTTAAGTCACAATCTACTAATTGGATTCAAAGAATCAACTGGGCCTTTTTCTGGACAAGAAATCAGATCCTAGTCTGACAAAAGTCTGTCAGACTAGGATCTGATTTCTCAAGACCGTGCAGAGCCATAAAAGTCTTCGAAATTGCCAAAGGCAGTTTAAATCAACTTGGCTATCTTACAATAGCTTATCTTAGCACGTGAGCGACTTGTTTGCATGGTCTAACGGTTAGTGCGCTGTGCTAGCTTTAAGCAGCTTAGTGCTAGCTTTAAGCAACGCTAGCTTCAGCCCCCGCATCTCCAATTGGGATATCTTTGAATCAACAGCAACTTATGAACTTATGAAACCAAAAAATCTTACCAATCGCATGATTTGTCGCATTCATTTTATTGTGCAGAGGGAAAGAGCAACCGCCGTCACACAGAAATGATTGAAAACCCTCAGGCGCGATCACCCAATCCTGGAAAGAAGCTTTTTTTAGAAGATCTTTTGAAAAGTTATAATGTTGAAACTGTAAGATAAGCTTATTTACTTATATAAGATACTACTATAAGATAAATTACGATAAGATAAGTGTTTAGAAAAAGTTCTGAAAACAAAAATGTCTTATTCTCTCTCACTTTCCATCCAAGATCGTTGAAATTCACGTAAAGACCCTTTCGATGACAGCCCATTTCATTTACTAAATAAAAATAGATAATCTAAAATGTTTTTTCTTTCAAAACAACTTCTAGGATTTGAATAAAGGTTTAAGCTTTAAGCTTTAAGCTTTAATCTTTAAGCTTTAAGCTCTGAGCTTTGAGATCGGCAAAATCTTCTTCTTTTTCCTATCATCAGTTTCGGCGCGAAGTGGATCGAAATTCACCGACATATAACCAACATTTCCATCCTTTGAAAACTCTTTTGAAGTGTTTTTTCTTTAAACCTTGGCGGCATTGAAAAGCGTATCGGTGTAGCTGATTGGTAGAGCTTTTGAACGGTAAATTAATAGCGTAACTACGGTAAATACCTTCGAAATAAATTGTGTATCCGACTTGTTTCAATCTCTCATAAAGCTTGTCAATATCGTTCTTTTTTTCTCTTTTGAAATGTTTTTTCTTTAAAAAATAACTTCTAGGATTTGAATAAAGGTTTAAGCTTTAATCTTTAAGCTTTAAGGTTTAATCTTTAATAATTAAGCTTTAATCTTTAATCTTTAATCTTTAAGCTTTAAGCTTTAAGCTTCTTTAAGCTTCAAGCTTTAAGCTTCTTTAAGCTTTAATCTTTAATCTTTAAGCTTTAAGCTTTAAGCTTCAAGCTTCTTTAAGCTTTAATCTTTAATCTTTAAGCTTTAATCTTTAAGATCGACAAAATCTTCTTCTTTTTCCTACCATCAGTTTCCGCGCGAAGTGGATCGAAATTCACCGACATATAACCAACATTTCCATCCTTTGACGACTCTTTTGAAGTGGATCTTTTTCTAAATTTGATTTTAAAATCAACTTTTTTTCTTTCGTCTTTTATTTACTTTCTTTGTGGAACACTTTTTGGTGAAATTCCCTCGTAAGAAACAATGCCGAATATGGAGAAATCTTGGGCGAAAATCACTAAAAGCAATGTTAAAAGAGAAAGAGCTCAGTTACAAAGAGTTTCTTCAAGAGAGAATTCAGACTCATTATAACAGATTAACCATCATTGCTCTTCGCGGGGGTCGAACCCACGTTGCGCAGATCTAGAGACAAGCGCGCTAACCGTTAGACCATAGTTGCAAGTCGTTCACTGACCCCTTTTCGCGTCTAAAAGTTTCACAAAGATTTCAGGCTGATTGTCGGTGATCCAAGAGTGAAATACTTTGGTGATATTCAGAGAGATTTTGGGTTTTTCTTTTGAAATCGATTCTGAAGAGTGCTCGACGAGTTCACCATTTCTGAAAAGTATAAAAATTGTTCTATTTTTTCTATTTTTTTCTATTTTTCATCGAAAAACACGAAAAACACACATTTTCAATGAAAAGTCAATCAATTTTTGCTTACTTTTTCGTAAACAATAACACTTCTCCATCAAAAGCGTGCGCAAATCGGAAACGAATCTCGGCGTATTGCGGGAGAATTTCCGGGAAATCCATTACATCAAAAGAAATCCCTGTATAATCGCCAATTGAGAACGTTTCTGGAAAAGATTTTAAAGATAAGAGAAGATATAAGTTTAATGGAATTCTATAGCTCAAGATTTGAATAAGATACTAAGATAAGATATAATTAGATAAGATCTAATTAGAAAAGATATAAGTTTAATGAAAGATAGAAAATTTTATAGCCCAAGATCTGAATAAGATACCAAGATAAGATCTAATTAGAAAAGATATAAGTCTAATGAAATTTTATAGCCCAAGATCTGTATAAGATGCTAAGGTAAGGTCTAATTAGAAAAGATATAAGTCTAATGAAATTTTATAGCCCAAGATCTGAATAAGCTACTAAGATAAGGTATAATTAGAAAAGATATAAGTTTAATGAAAGATATAAAATTTTATAGCCCAAGATCTGAATAAGATACTAAGATAAGGTATAATTAGAAAAGATATATTTAAAGGGGGAGGGGTATTAATGGCGGCCGGGTGACAATAAAAAATTTTTTACGGCAACCACCTGTTTTTTTAATTTTAATATCGCTGATTTTATTATAAAAAGAATAAAAATCACCCGGCTAGAGTGATTTGATGGGTTTACAAATTTTTGGAGACACTGCAAGGCTTGGAGAAAAACAAGATCGTCACTCATCAGACACGTCACTCCGCGATTAATACCCCGCCCCCCTTTAATGAAATTCTATAGCCTTCATCTTCATCTACTTTCTTTTTCTTGACTCACTCACTTTTTGGTGCAAAACTCATAATCGTATTCGCGTTTTTAAGCATCTCGAGATGATTTTGAGCAAGCATTCTGAAAGATTATATTAAAAAATATTATTTTATCAATTTAAAAAAGCATTTTACAATTTACATTACAATAGTTGATTGAAAATTGGATTATTCGTTTAAAATTCCTAAAAACCTCTCATCATCGATTTGCCCATAAAGTGTCTTCATGAAATCGGCGGCTTCAGAATTGAAATGTGGTGGCTCGTCGATCTCAATCACTTCTCTTTGATCATTCGTTGGATTTCTCTCATTCTTATTATTCGGGAATGTCCCTTTATCTCTTCTTGTTCTTTGGGGCAGATCCTCGGCTTCCTCGATGCCCAAAATGCTCAAAATTTCTCGACCAAATGCACCAACATCGTCACTAAATAGGTGAGAGTTTTATTGTTTAATTAACCACCATAGCTACTAAAGAGTGTTCCTTTCGAGTAATCGCTTTCTAAGTTTTCCAAAGCGAGAAAGCTTGCTGGCCGAGTGGCTTGCGGGCTTGTCTCTAAAGCGAACAGCCGTTAGGCGACAAGTTCGACCCCTGCTCGAGCCGTTTTTCGTAAAAACTTTGAATTCTTTGCTATATCGATTTAGAGTGTTTTACTTATCAGTTACTAAAATTGTTAGCTTCCAAAAGCATAGAAAAGTAATAAAACTTATTTGAAGAGTTGAAGAATTTTCTACAATATAATTACTTGAGATTTACTTGTAAAAAATAAGTTAGGCGAATTTATTGAAGTTGCTTGAAAGGAACAGAGTCTAATAGTCTAATAAAACAAAAAAACAAACAACAAAAAGATCATGTAAACATAAGAAAAATATTTGAAAATATAATATCAAGGTTTTTACTTTAGAAATCGGCTCACAAAGAGATCAACCGAGCTTAAATGATTCGACTCTTCCAAAATCGGAGCTGTTTTTGTCCGCGAACCATGAACTCACATTTCAATCGGAATCTTTCTCGTTGTTGCCCCTTCTTCTAATAAATACGAGCTTCTCAACGAGGAGTTGATTTGAAGAAATAAATACGCGAAAAATAGTACTTGTACTTGTACGCGTTTCATGATATCACATCCTAAAATTAAATATCATTTTTGTGAATACAATAAACAAGAAAAAGAAAGACATTGAAAGTTCTGCTAGAAAGATTTCAAAACTACAAAGCTACAAAACTACAAAGCTACAAAGCTACAAAGCTACAAAACTACAAAACTACAAAGCTACAAAGCTACAAAGCTACAAAACTACAAAACTACAAAGCTACAAAGCTACAAAGCTACAAAGCTACAAAGCTTTACGAAAAATTCATTCAGACAATATCTAGGTAAGCAGGAATCGATAAAAGATTGATTTAACAGGGATAAATGACATCAGAGATGCTTGAAGTGAAATTGCTCCAGAGTTCAACCCTTGTAATCAATACAAAACTTTATCTTTGAGGATAAAAATGAGAATAATGCAAAAAGAAAGACGTGTAAGCTGAGCCTTATTTCCATCCATTTTTATTTTTCACTCGTTCGTTCTATTGGATGGGGAGAGGTCCCAAATGCGAATCGCACACAGAAAACCTCGTTTTTCCTTTTCCTTTTTCTTTCCCCCAAACCACCTGACCCCCATTTTTCTCTCTTGATTTATTTCAAAATCTCTCCTCATTTTTCTCCACTTTTCTACTCTCGCTATGGATAATCTTTAAAATAAATAAATAAATATTTGAATATCAGTCACAGGTAATAGACAAGAAAAGACTTCTTGATTTGATAGTGAAATAAATATTTTCAACCATACGGTTCTTTCGTTTTAGAAATTCCCGTCACCTCCAATAAGTTTGTGTATAAATCTCTTCCAATAAGAACTGCCAGAATTTGGAATCGACTCCCCAGAGTCCCCAGGGTTTTGTGAGAGTCCAATAGTCTCGAAACCTTTCCATTATCTGTAGATGATCCTGATCTTGAAGCTCTAGTGGATCCTTGACGTTATCTGTGCTGTAATATACGATATAATATATTACATACATTATATCGTCTTGCTTTTTATCGGCCCTTTTCGTGTTTATGTGTATGAATTCATGTGTATTAATCTTAAATCTAGCACACTTTATCTCAGGTCCTGAATAAAGTATCTATATACAGTGGCGGACAATTAAATAGAACCGAGGGAATTATTTCGTGTCTTCTCTCTCGTGCATTATTTTAACTTACTTTCAAAAGTAAAGTAAAATATAGTTCAATATACATCTATTAAACAGTTTTCGAGTTTTCTGAAAAAACTTTGAGGCACTTAAAAATGCATGAAAATAAAAGTATAGTTTTACAACTTTTTCCTGAGGCGTTTTAGAGCATGATAATGTTCAGCAAAACGATTCTCCGTATTCGATTTAGTGGGAATAAGCTTTTAGTTTGTGGAAATTCGTTGAAATTTAAGGGTTTTCGGGCATCTGAAAGTGCTCAAAAACGGCAAAAAAGCGAATACGGCAAATTTGCCGTTTTTCCCTTTTTCCCTTTTTGACCCTTTTTGAGCACTTTCAGATGCCCGAAAACCCTTAAATTTCAACGAATTTCCACAAACTAAAAGCTTATTCCCACTAAATCGAATACGGAGAATCTTTTTCCTATCATGCTCTAAACCCCAGGAAAAAGTTGTAAAACTATACTTTTATTTTTGGATTTTTAGGGCCTCAAAGTTTTTCGAAAACTCGAATTTAAGTTATTTTTCTTTACTTTTGAAATAAGTAAAATATGCGAGAGAGAAGCACGAAATAATTCCTGGTTCTATTTATTGGCCCGCCACTGTATATATAAAATTTGAAAAGAAAAATATTTAAAAAGACCACTTTTGCCCCCTACCCCCCTTGTCTTTACCCTTTTCTAAATATTAATATTACCATTTAGCCCTTGGAAAGGGCTTCAGATGTATACACTAATGTTTATAAGACAAGGGGAAGACGCGAAAGTGGATCTTTTTCAAATATCATATTTCATTGTCCAGTACTGTATATACCATCTCCAAATGTTTTGATTCTTGAATGTAGAGTGTGTTCCTTGCGATTCAATTGCTTCAATTTGATTCAAATGCTTCAATTTGATTCAATTGCTTCAATTTGATTCAAATGCTTTTCCTCGGTCAAGAAAAACTATAAAAGACAAAGTGTTAAGTCAAATTCAAAGTCAACAGGTCGAATGCTTCACACTTCAGTCACAAATGAACGTCATACTCTGAAATATATGCAAAAAAAAAACACTTTTCAAATATTGTAAAGTTTAAAACTCATGTCTCACTCGAAAAAAAGGTATCTAGAGTAGGAAACAAGAGCAAACATTGAAAGTTTCAATTTATCAGTTGACTTTTTTTGGAATATCCAATACTAGTTCACAGTTGGGCTTTTAAACCTAATAAAATAACGATTTTACAGACAATTGAATATGGAACACTTTCAAGATGCGTTGAAGATGAAGGAGATGCGTTGCAAAATGGTTATTGCAAAATGGCAAAATGGTTATACAAACAAATAAAAAATGGTTATTACAGAAAGAAAATGAAAAAGAAACTTTGTAGTCTTATCATTTGCGACATTTTGCGACAAGTGCAAAATAAAAAATAATTTAAAATTTGTGGCTTTTCGAGTAAATGATTTCATCACGGTATTTATGCGTACTTTTTGTATATAAAACTCGAATTTAAGCGCTTTCTTGCATTTTTAATGATTTAAATTCAAAAATCGATGATTTTCCTAAGATTTTGCAACGTAATTTTTGATTTCTTCTTATTTCATTCAAGCTTTGACCATTCGAGATTTCGTAATCAATTCAAGCGGAAGAGATTGAGGATTCGAATTGAAAGAACGGGGAAATGGAAAAGAAATGACAGATCCGTGAACTCCATTCCTTCTTTTCCCTATTTAGTCTTTTTTCGTCTTTGTTTCGATTCGAGAACCACCGAAACACTCAAAGGATCCACAATGATGATGGGACGGCCAAATATGGATGGATAGTCTTTACGTCTTAGTCTTTTTTTTGTGTGCTTCCTTGCTTTAAATTGATACCATATTCTATTTCGTTATTTCTTATCTGAAACTGGCTTTTAGTCAAAAAAACATGTTGTTCTAAAGGATTTTCTGAGGCTGGACAGAATCCAGGTTCTGGTTTGGCTTTGCCTGGCCTAGATTGTCATTGCTGAAGGTCAGCCTGGTCCTGACTTACCCTAGCGGTTTACAGTAGAGTGTGTTCCTTGCGAGTAAGTAATTATGCGAGTAAAAAATTTGCATGAGTAATTTTTACTCGATTAATCGACGTTTTTTCGTCGAATAACTCCGAGTAATCCTCTTTACACGACGAGTAAATTGAATATCTTTAAATTGGAAGGGAGTTTCCCACCAAATCAATTGAACGGCTGAGTATCTTTAAAAAGTGTCATATATAATGCGGAGCTCGTGATTTTTGTGTCATTTTTTTTGCAATAATTTTCGCTAAGAATCCAAGTTCTGGCTTGGCGTTGCCTGGCCTAGATTGTCGATAATGTACGGTCATTTTTTCCAAGTGTGCGTTTTAAAAAACGCATTAGCGCGAGGAAAATCCTCTAGTTTACAGAATCTAGAGTTCAGTTTCTAGAGTTCTAGAGTTTCTAGAACTCTAGAACTCTAGAAATCTAGAGTTTCTAGAACTCTAGAACTCTAGAAATCTAGAGTTTCTAGAACTCTAGAAATCTAGAGTTTCTAAAACCACCTTCTTTCTAACATCTTTACAATTTGAAAGAGTTGTTTGAAATCGTGAATCATCACATAAGATACTGTAAGGTTGAAATCTTTTGTCCGAACACAGAGCTAAAGGGCTACTGAGCTAAAGATATTCAGCCAGCAATACTGTAGATCTTTCAAAACATCTTACTATACAGAATATTAGAGAATCAATTTTGAATAATTATGGCAAACTGTTGTTCTTAAAATAAAAGCCACTCAAAACAACGAGACAGTCTCTTCTCCAAATTCGAAAGCGATTATTTGTGTTTGTGTGGAGTGAGAAGAGTTCTCTCTTTCTCTCTTTTTCCCTTTTTCCCTTTTCTTCTTCTTCTTCTTCTTCGACTTTTCTCTCAAATGGGTTCTTGTCATCTCATCGGGGTGTCCACTTCTTCTTCTCCTCCAACTCAACCACACCCTTTCTCCTCAAAAAGCTGATCACCACAGAATT